AGCTTGATAAATACGGGCCCAGGTTTATAAATATAGTAATAATCATACCTCTGGCTAAAGCAAGGGAATGCCAATATCCACAGGCCACTTGGGTAATGTGAACCTCGGACAAACTCCTGACAGTTCTGAGAAGAGAGACGGTTATGCCATGCAGGTTATGGACTATAATCGTTTGTCTACAGAAGTTTTTCAGTACGGCATCCATTACAGAGGCATTTTATACTTCAAGAGGTGAAGATTTTTTACCTGGGTACACGGAGACAATCTTCAATATTTGAAAGGCCGAGCTGTCCATCTGAACCCAAACCCCACGCAAACACTTGTCCTTTATCATTCAGAGCCAGAGTATGAGATTCACCGCAAGACACGGCCACAATGTTCTGAGCATCCAGAGACACTACCTGTTCTAGAAAGAGTGTGTAAACATCAGAAAGAGTGAATTATGCAGATGCATATACATGGAAAACTGGCCAATATATTGTATATTAAATATATTGAACTGCATAATCTGTATAATACGACATTCTTAATGTTCCTTAAAGTCCCTCTGTTGTGAAAATCCAGCTTTTAGTGGTGTTTATATGTCTATGTGGTGTTTTTAATATGCTTTAACCATTGCTAATGACATTGCTAATGCTAAGACAGTCTCAAAAACACGGTTTGAAATCGCTGGTGTTTCTGACGTCACAAACGACCTTGTAACCAATCAGATCAACGTGTGATCGTCAACCAGTGGATCCCTGAGCTGAGTGAGTGAGTGGAGGCGGGGCTCATTTGCATATCCATAGAACCGCGTATACTAAATGAGGCAAGGGTGTCGGGTTACATTCAAGCTATTTTAAGGCTATTTTGAGGATATGTCATTTTGTTTGGTGATCACAAGATGAGTTTTTAAGGATAAAATTATTGACTACTAATTTTATTTTAGTGTATTTGCTGTTTTTTTTTTTACTGTTTTATGTATTGTAATATGTTTTGATTCTCTGGCATGTGAAGCAGTGATACTAATAAAGGGACCATCAGTTTCAGTGCAACAAATTCCTTGATGTTTGCGGTCATTGAGTTAGAGGTCATGTGACTTCTACGGAAATGACAGTTGCCAATGTTACACTGACCGACTGATATGCATTTCTGTGTAATGGTATTATGTTACCAAATCCATCAGATTGATTTCCAGGCCGTTCCATTGATTTAACCTAATATAAACCAGGATTTCCGAACAGGGACGCAGAGTTTGTGAGAATGTGATGTACTACGATTCAAAATGTTTGGGTTAAGTAAGGTTTCTAAAAAAAATTTTTTTTTAAAGAAATTAATAATTTTATTCTGGAAGGATTCATTAAAGGGATGAAAAGTGCCAGTAAAGATATTTATAATGATGATAATAATCATTTCCTGAGCAGCAAATCATCATATTAGAGTAATTTCTGAAGGATTACTGATAATAATAATGCTGTAATGATGCTGAAAATTCAGCTTTGATCACAGGAATAAATTATACTTTACTATATATTCACATAGAAAACAGCTACTTTAAATTTTAATATTATTTCACATTATTTACTGTATTTTTGATCAAATAAATGCAGCCTGGATGAGCATGACTTCTTTCACAAACATTTAAAAATTTTGAGTGGTAGTTTAGATAAAATGGGAAAAATTAAAACAATGAAACACTTTGAAAATTTGAAAATTTGAAAAATTTGAAAACACTTGAAAATTACAAAAAAAAAAGAAGGGTGAGGCTTGCATTTCAAAAGTGGGTGTTTCATACCAGAATGAAGGAACCACCTAGTTATTACCGTATTAAGTCTCACTAATTTTTCTTTTTGGCCACAGTGATTCACAGTGAATCATTTAGATTAAGATCAAGAAGTCCAATTAAAAGCTATAACATTATAATGCTAGTAGACTGTCTTTGTGGCCCTACCTGGTTTCTTGCGTCCTTTGTCGTGTCCCAGCTGACCCAGGTCATTACACCCGCATGTGTAAACCGTCCCGTCCTCCAGCAGAAAGACACTGTGACGTCTGCCACATCCCACATCTCTCACACGCTTGCCCTCGAAGAACTCACACTTCCTCGGCTCCAGCACGATCTCCTCATCAATCCCACCTAAACCGAGCTGCCCGTACGAGGCATTTCCCCAGCATAGCATGACGACGGGCCCGTGTGGCCGCTCTCTTCCGCAGGCGAAGACCTACACACACACACACACACACACACACACACACACACACACACACACACACACACACACACACACACACACACACACACACACACACACACACACACACACACACACACACACACACACACACACACACACACACACACACACACACACACACACACACAGCAAAACGAAACTCTTTAAAGCATCTGTAACTAGAGGCACTTTATTAAACAAAGTTATTTTTTAATGATACATACAGAAAATAAAATAAAAACATTAATGGACAAAAGGGAGGTAATGATGAAAATAGAATAAATAATAAAAAATGTAATATATCCACCTTATTCCTGACGAGCTTACTGCGTTTTGAATTATGGGCGGCACTTCCCGTTTGGGGAACTTCCATTCAAAAAGACTGAAACGAATCATTTCAAATCATAAGGTTGCCCTACAAATAAACCTGATCCGTCAGTTTGACTTAATGAGCAATCAGTTTTCTTTCATGTTTTATCTAAGAATAACATGAGAATAACGTAACACTTGGACATGTTATAACAAGAATATCCATAGTAAGAGCTCTGCATTCTTTTCCTCGTGATTATTTTCTTTTTTCCTTTTGAATTCCCCTGTAATAGTATGACAAAGGTCAACACATACTGCACATTTGTGGTCTGTTCTCCCGATTTAATTTACGATGTATACCATTACAAATTCACTGGAATCCTCTCCAAATCCTCACGTCTCTTTCCAGGTTTGGTTTCACAGGTAAATACAATTTATTATCTGTCAAAATGACTGAAATCACTTTAAAATAATATCACGTAATGCTGAAGTAAAACACTTTTTTATTAAGGCAACCTATGTTACATAATACAGATTACCACAGTGATATTTAACCGACCGATTTAGCTGTGGAAAGATGCTTTTGAGATTATTCATGGTCTGTTGAAAGTTACCTTGTTGATGCTTTTACACTTTTAAATGTCCTTTTAATGTTCAATGGTTGAAGGGTGAGTAGAATAATGTAATGTCATCGTAAAAGGTTTAAAAATCTATTATTGCGTCCATAGAGCTTAGTCTTTCACTGATTGTTTACATCTTAACAGAAGTTACACCCATAATTCGCGCAAAGCGTCATGGGGCGCAGGAATGCTGTGGATATATATTTTTTATTAAAATTTGTATAAAAATAATCAGTTACATGAAAGCAATATACTAAAATTTACACACCTACATTATATTTTTACTTTAACAAATACTATCACCATTTGCTCTAAACCACAATTTCTATAAGCAACTCTAAAAATTTAGGTTTGGTTAGTAAATTTAAGTATAGGGGTGTAAATTGGTGTAGTATTTTTGTATTATATAAAATGGTATGCCCCATTTTTTTTGTTTGATTGTGATTTGGTTTATATATGGTTTATATGGAAGCTTATTTCCGCCACTGAATGAAAAATAAAAGAGGTAATTGCGACTTTTTATCTCACAATTCTGACTTTTTTTCTCACAATTGCGAAATGTAAAGTCAGAATTGCGTGATATAAAATCGCAATTGCGTGTTATAAAGTCAGAATTGTGAGATATAAACTATTCTGAGGAGGAAAAAGTTAGTCTTTTTTCCCCCTTAGAATTGGCCTGATAACTCGCAATTGCAAGTTTATATCTCACAATTCTGAGAAAAGATGTCAAAATTTCGAGATATAAACTCGCAATTATGTGTTATAAAGTCAGAATTGCGAGATATAAACTCGCAATTGTGAGAAAAAAAGTCAGAATTGTGAGATAAAAAGTCGCAATTCTGTCTTTTTTTCTCGCAATTTCTACTTTATTTCTCAGAATTGCGACTTTTTATCTCGCAATTGCGACTTTATTTCTCAGAATTGCGACTTTATTTCTCAGAATTGCGACTTTATATCTCGCAGTTGCGACTTTATTTCTCATAATTGCGACTTTATATCTCCCAATTGCGACTTTATTTCTCATAATTGCGACTTTATATCTCGCAATTGCGACTTTATTTCTCATAATTGCGACTTTATATCTCGCAATTGCGACTTTATTTCTCAGAATTGCGACTTTATATCTCGCAATTGCGACTTTATTTCTCAGAATTGCGACTTTATTTCTCAGAATTGCGACTTTATATCTCGCAATTGCGACTTTATTTATCATAATTGCCACTTTATATCTCGCAATTGCGACTTTATTTCTCATAATTGCGACTTTATATCTCGCAATTGCGACTTTATTTCTCAGAATTGCGACTTTATTTCTCAGAATTGCGACTTTATATCTCGCAATTGCGACTTTATTTCTCATAATTGCGACTTTATATCTCGCAATTGCGACTTTATTTCTCATAATTGCGACTTTATATCTCGCAATTGCGACTTTATTTCTCAGAATTGCGACTTTATATCTCGCAATTGCGACTTTATTTCTCAGAATTGCGACTTTATTTCTCAGAATTGCGACTTTATATCTCGCAATTGCGACTTTATTTCTCAGAATTCTGACTTCATATCTCGCAATTGTGAGATAAAAAGTAATTTATTATTTTTATTTTTTTTATTCAGTGGCGGAAACAAGCTTCCGTAGGTTTAGGCAAGTACTGGAAGTAAGACCTAATAAGCCCAGGGCTTGAACCTATCCCTTTTCAAATGGGTTGTGCATTATGTTGAGTATCATTAATTAAATTTTGCTTTGTTTATTTTGTTATATATTTTCTTTTTTTCTTGTTTTAATAGTTAGAAATAAAGATTTTCATATCATATCATACTTATAGTATCTATAATTACCGGTTTGATTTGCAATAACTAGGTCGCAAATGTTGTTTAATGAAGTGCCTCTAGTTAGTTGCTTTCATTTTCATCTACGTTCTTTTTTAATGATACATACAGGGCGGCAGAAAATAAAAATAATAATGGACAAAAGGGAGGTAATGATGAAAATAGAAATACAAAATACAAAAAAAATCAGTTACATGAAAGCAATATACTAAAATGTCTAAACTTATATTTTTACTTTAACAACTACTATAACCATATACTCTAGTCTAAACCATACAGAAAGCATACAGATTAGTCCCGCCCTGCAGAGAGTATTCGACTGAAAGCTCTCTAGAAAGTTCACTTTGTGGGAGGTGTGTGTGTACATAAACAATTATTGCATAACACAGCTTACAGTTGAAGTCTATAATTGGATGCATTAAAATGGGCACTAGCACTTTAAGAACGTAAAGACACATTGTAACTTTTCTACACTAAAAATAACAACAAATGTAACACTGTATCGAATTCTAAACTGCAGACCACGTGATTCACTTGAGATTTAAATGCCCTGACCACCGAACAGACACTATGACGTGTGTGTTCACGAAATGAGTGAAAACTACCGTTAAAACGGTTGGTGATTAAACGCAGTTTTGAGAGAATGTCAGTTAATTCATACAGCAAACAAAGTGTGTGCGTGTTTTAATGACAGGGTTTCAATATAATATAAAATACACCTCACTGCTGTTGTGCACGAATTTGTGACTTTAATAAGACCATAAAACACATACTGCATCAATCCCAGGTATGAACACTGCTACATAAGACGAATATGTCTGCACACACTCCCATACAGCGTTTTGACAGCATGTGTGTGTGTTCGTCAGTCTTGGCTTTATCTTACCTGTTGATATGTAATATAATGCTCCTCTGGACGTCTCCAGCACAGGTTCAGGGCTTATGTTTACATGAGCGTTAATGCGGATATATTCTGTAATATCATGACAGCCGGACACGCGCTTAAATAGACACACACAGGAATGAACGCGAAGCTACTGTAATATTCTAGAGGCTTTCCAACACACCGGATGTGACGACAGATGAGGAGTTCCTGCGGTGCGGTTAGAAAACACACACTAATAATAATAACAATAATAATAATGATGATAATAATATTAATAATAACGCGATAAAAAAAATAATTAGCAATTTCTGTTGGGTCAGATTTCCGGTGACATTATGCTTTCTTGTTTTGGTCACTGATCTATATGTCATTATATAGATTAGTGGTTTTGATATGTTCTGGTTCAAAAGGCTGTTGTCGTCAAGTAAAAAACAACAACAATATTGCTTAAAAAAAACCGTGGCTAACGTTTTATAAAATCTAAATACAAGAGTTTGTCTAGTCACGGCCAAAGCTAGGCAATTCTTCAAAATAAAGGTCTCTAGACAATTTCAATGAACATGATTATTTGGAAAATATTGCGTTATATACATTTTTTTTGTTTCGTTGATTACTGTTAGATGTATTATTGTTATTTTTTTGTCTAGTTTCAAGATATTTTTTTTATTATTTTAATCCGATTTCTTATTATTTGTTCGTTCATTTTAATAAATTTTATAATTATTTTATTCTCATTTTTATATATCAATTTTAATCTGTTTTTATATATTTATTTTAATCTTATTTTAAATTAGATAGTTTAGAAAACCCTTGGTCTAGACAAAAATCACTATTATTGCAATTTCATCACTTGAAAACAAAAAAATTATTGCATTGGTATTGGTTGTCAGAGATGTTAATTAGATAAGCACAAAACGTTTTTGCTTTTTAAAAATATGTTTGGTTTTTGGTTTATGTGCTTTATAGCATTCACATTTTGAGTTGCAATGACGCATGGAATCACTTGCCCTCAATGGATAATAATTCTCCCTGACATGGATGTATGGTATATACATGTGCCCCCAACAAAGATCAATACAAGAATGATAATTTTCCCTTTTAAATGTTTCATTTAAGTCTCAGTTCCTCCTGTCATGATTTCACACATGCCTCAGTTTGTTTTTCTGCAGCGATTCATCATGTTAATGAGTTTAAACCATGCTTTTGGACATTGCAAGCGTTAGAATCCAGATTAAAAGTCCAATATTCATTATTATTATGATTAAACTTCATTATTAGACAGCATTTTTAGCTGCAGGTTGGTCAAGGCAAAAAATATTTACATCACTATTATAAATCAAATAGCTTTTTATTAACATTTACTCTACAAAAACACCCTCGCATATCGTGGTCATCAGAACAAATGTATCAGTTGGACTTTTCAACATCAATTAAACGAATCAAAATTGCAGTGTGTGATTCTCAAAACAAAAAGCCGTTGAGGTAGAACTATTCATAAAGACAAATAGTTGCATATGTGAATGTGTGTGTGAATCAGAGAAGGGTGAATTTAATAATAAATCGATACAAACCTCAGTGTAAATGCACACCACCAAAACAAACTACAACAGAAAAGTTGCATTTTTATTAAAATAAAGAAAAAGAAAAAAAGAAAAACACTATACCAAAGTGCATTTGTAAGGTCGCAAGACAATAATAGTCTACATTCAGTGAGGTAGAGCAAAATAACACTTGCTTGTGTTGGTAAAAACAGTATTTTCTTGTACTTAAGTTACTTCAAACTACCATGATGTCTTCATTTAGAAAGATGCCTGTAAATAATAATGCTTTGAAGTAAACTTAACACAAGATAGTGTTCAGTGGGAAGTGCATGACAGCATTATAATATTGCACATTTGGGATGACTCCACACCTCATGAACATTATTGATTTAAATCTTCACTCAAATCACAAGGATTCAGAATGTTGTATATGCATGCATTCATGTAAATGCAACTTGAATGGTTGCATATGCGCATTTCAGAGCGGTGGTGGTGTTTGCAATCCCACATTTGCACATAATAAATACAAACTCGCCCCTGTGCAGTGGAACGGTCCGACGCTTTCCCGTCCCGTTTCAATCACCTGTCAAAGCAGGGGTAAAGAGCGCTGGCCTGGTAAGCTCTTCCAGGCACGTTCACCTTGGCATCCATGTTCTGTGTGTGTCCGAGGCCACGCATAGGCGCTGTGGACGTCAGGTATGTTGCAGGACCTTGCGCTGAAACGACGACCGGCGGGCAGTTCTGCATGTACTGTGTGTTCGGACGCTGCATGTACTGGTGCAAGGACCCGCTCTGACCCGGGACGGGATACACCGTCTGTTGATGCTGGCATTTCTGCTTGTTTGCTTCCTTTACATCACTGTCGTGAGCACTGAGAGAGAGAGAGAGGGGGGGAGAGTGTGTGTGTTAGAGAGTGAGTGAGTGAGAGTGTGTGAGTGTGTGTGTGTGAGAGAGAGTGTGTGTGAGTGTGTGAGAGAGAGAGTGAGAGTGTGTGAGTGAGTGTGAGAGAGAGAGAGAGAGTGTGTGAGTGAGTGTGAGAGAGAGAGAGAGAGAGAGAGAGAGAGTGTGTGTGAGTGTGTGAGAGAGATAGTGTGTGAGAGTGAGTGAGAGAGAGAGAGAGAGTGTGTGTGAGTGAGTGAGTGAGTGAGCGAGCGTGTGTGTGTGAGTGAGTGAGCGTGTGAGAGTGTGTGTGTGTGAGTGAGAGTGTGAGTGAGAGTGTGAGAGAGTGAATGAGTGAGTGAGAGAGTGAATGAGTGAGTGAGAGTGTGAGAGAGTGAATGAGTGAGTGAGAGAGTGAATGAGTGAGTGAGAGAATGAGTGAGCGTGTGAGAGTGTGTGTGTGTGTGAGTGAGTGAGTGAGCGAGCGTGTGAGAGTGTGTGTGAGTGAGAGAGTGTGTGAGTGAGAGAGTGTGTGAGTGAGAGAGTGTGTGAGTGAGAGAGTGTGTGAGTGAGTGAGAGAGAGAGTGAGTGAGTGAGTGTGTGAGAGTGTGAGTGAGAGAGTGTGTAAGTGAGAGAGTGTGTGAGTGAGAGAGTGTGTGAGTGAGAGAGTGTGTGAGTGAGTGAGAGAGTGTGTGAGTGAGAGAGTGTGTGAGTGAGTGAGTGAGTGAGTGAGTGAGAGAGTGTGTGAGTGAGAGAGTGTGTGAGTGAGTGAGTGAGTGTGTGAGTGAGAGAGTGTGTGAGTGAGAGAGTGTGTGAGTGAGAGAGTGTGTGAGTGAGAGAGTGTGTGTGTGTGTGTGTGTGAGTGTGTGAGTGAGAGAGTGTGTGAGTGAGTGAGTGTGTGTGTGTGTGTGTGAGTGTGTGAGTGAGAGAGTGTGTGAGTGAGTGTGTGAGTGAGAGAGTGTGTGAGAGTGTGTGTGTGTGAGTGTGTGAGTGAGTGTGTGAGTGAGAGAGTGTGTGAGTGAGAGAGTGTGTGAGTGAGAGAGTGTGTGAGTGAGAGAGTGTGTGAGTGAGAGAGTGTGTGAGTGAGTGAGTGAGTGAGTGAGTGAGTGAGTGAGAGAATGAAATATAAGGGATGATGATGTCCAATATTTGTGGCATCAATCTTTTCATTCAACTGGGTTTGTACAGATACTGTAAAATTAAATTTCAAGGATTTTTCAAGCAATACTTTTTGGGGGTTTTCAAAGACTACAATCAGAGATCTCACTTATCAAACAATATATTTTTTATCTTTCGAATTCTAAAAAGGGTAAGTAGACAAAAAACTAATAAAACAAAATGGTACACACAAAGTGCAGCACATGCAATGAATAATTGATAATTATATGAGCAATATTACACTCATAGCCATGTGAAATGGCTCTATATCAATATCAGACGGTTGTGAAAAAATAGATTTATCAATAAAATTAAACACTATTTTCTAATATAGCCTATTGTCTTCTAATAATTCAAGCACTTTTTCAGAAATATGGATGTTTTTCAAGACTTTAATTTCAAAAATCAAATTCAAGCACTAAAGCACCTTGTACGAACCCTTTATAATACGCCAGCATGCAGCGGCATGAGTTTCATTGAGATACTCTCTAGTTTGGAACAATTAAGATGTTTTAATGTTTGTGAAAAGAGTCTCTTCTGCTCACCAAAGCTGCATTTATTTGATCAAAAATACAGTAAAAAATTATGAAATATTATTCCGATGTAAATCAGCTGTTGTCTATGTGAATATATAGTAAAGTATAATTTATTCCTGTGATCAAAGCTGAATTTTCAGCATCATTACTCCAGTCTTCAGTGTCACATGATCCTTCTAATATGTTAATTTGCTTCTCAATTATTATTGGTGCTCAATTAGTTAATAATGTTTCTTAGTACTATCAACTGCTTAATATTTTTGCTTAAACCATGATCCATTTTTTTCAGGATTCTTTGATGAATAGAAAGTTCAAAAGAACAGCATTTATTTGAAATAGAATCTTTTGTAACATTATTAATGTTTGATACATTTAATGCACCCTTGCCGAATAGAAGTATTATTTTTTTAATCTTACGTACCCAAAACTGCAGCACAATTGTTTTCAACACTGATAATAATCATAAATGTTTCTTGAGCATCAGATCCTCATATTAGAGTGATTTCTGAAGGATCATGTGACACTGAAGACTGGAGTAATGATGCTGAAAATACAGCTTTGATCACAGGAATAATTTTTTTCAAATTCAAATTAGCTTTATTGGCATGAATGTGTAAAATAGCACAATATTGCCAAAGCAATAGACATATACAAACATATAGATAAATAAAAGTGAACAATAATAATATTTTTTTTTTTACTAAAATATCATAATAATGATTTGAAATTTTTTTCAATTATTTATCCATCTGAGGTTCCACTGGTTGTCCTCATTTCATGGCATGAGGAGACATATTTTGCAGCAATTATTTCACATTTGGGCATTTCTCCCAGTAAATATGGGATTTTCTGTGTGTCTGATATGGATTCGAATTCAGGGTATATTTGGGAAATGTTTGCAAAGTGTTTTTGTCTTAGTGTATTATATTTGGGCCATGAGGTTAGAAAGTTAGAAATTACACTTTACTACAGTCGTCAACATTTGAAGTGGATCAAAACCTTCCATTAGAGTTATATATGAATTTTGTACAATACCCGTTCTTGTCTTAGGACAACTTTGATGAACTTTTTTGATTCACTTCAAATATGGACTACTGTATATATTCACATAGAAAACAGATATTTTAAATTGTAATAATATTTCCTATTTTTTTGTATTTTTAATCAAATAAATGCAGCCTTGGTGAGCAGAAGACACTTTTGAAAAGCTCAAACTCACATCAGCAGTCTCTCGACGGCGGGCAGCATCTGGTCCCAGGTGTACGCGGACAGACGCTGGAGACGCGGAGGCCATGACGGAGACAGACGCAGGATTACCCGTGAGGACGACACACACGCCGCTGCGACCAGGGACGGCACGAACCGCAGAAACGCATGGTCTTGACACAGGAAAGAAATGCTTTTTTCTTAGTACAAAAACACAAACATTCTGATTCTGCAGATCATGTAGTTCATATACAGGTGAAAATGCAATGCACATATGACGCAAATTTCTCAAAGTCATAATCATTTGTTAACAAACAAGTATTCATTACTTCAATGAGCTCATTGTTTCTGCCTTAAATTATTACATTGTTTGAATTAATACATTGTTAGCTAACTGATTTGTATATGTACATTTCTGAAATACATAACTTAGAGAGTTTCCTCTGATAACAATCACTCTATTGTAATGTGGACTCGTGCATTTTCTGTAAATCTGCTTTGAAACGATGTGTATTGTGAAAAGCACTATAAAAATAAATATGAATTGAATTGATTTTTTTTAATTATTGTGTTAAATGTTAAATATATGGTGAAAAACAAGCTATATTTTACTTCATGCATTTGTTGAATCTTTTTGGAAAGATGGTTACCAAGCAATTTCAGAGTAAATTTTTATTTTTTTTATAAATTATGATAATATTGATAAATGTCAATGTCAAAAGGATGAAAACCTTAATATTCTATGATATGATATCTATACAGTAGGGTTCTCTGATGATTAGTAATATTTATAAGAACTTTAACCTTTATATTTGTAATGCACCATATGCAGAACTATCTAACATTCACGATATAGGAAATCCTGTGAGAGCTGCGAATGACTATTGCAGACACAGACGTTCATAAATGGGAATAACTAGGTTTGCAGTCAATTTGTTCACGGACCGGCTTTGACTGTTCCAATATGGCGCACGACTTCAATATAGCGGCTCTCTAATGTGTTATCCATGTTTAGATGTCTATGCACGTGACCTTAGATATATACGGAAGTGTTTTGGAAAGATTTCAATGTGGCCAAACAATGAACATCACTTACAGCCTTTTCACTGACCGCATTATTGTAATCAAGACGCATGCATTTTCTGTAAAGCTGCTTTGAAACGATGTGTATTGTGAAAAGCACTATACAAATAAATGTGAATTCAATTTAACTAAATATGCTGTCTACCTTCACTAAAATCCCATGGTTTTAATATTTTTGGAAAGTTGGTTACCGAGCAATTTCAGAGTAAATATTTTTTTTTGTGCATTTTCTGTAAAGCTGCTTTGAAGGAGTTACACCGCACTCACGATCATGAAGGTGCCAGACAAACAAGACTAAAGATCTCAAAAAATTAATAAACTGTCCGCACACTTAAATGCTTTAAGCCAATTTAATCACCAAGCTTTCAGTCAAAAGACCATCCTCAGGGCAAGTAAAGCTGCTTTGAAACGATGTGTATTGTGAAAGCGCTATACAAATACATGTGAATTGAGTTTAGGACTGGACGCCGCACCTTGCAGAGACACCTCTAGGAAGTAGTCGGCATATTTGGACATGTAAAGCATGGTTTTCTCCATGCAGGCCATCGGCCAGCCGTCATGCAGGTCCGTCTCGTTCACGGCGACTGGCAGGTAATACTCGATGAAGTGGGCAGCCGTGGGAAGGTACAGGTTCCACTGAAACGTCTCGAGGAGCAGCAGCTCCATGTGCAGGAGACCCTGTTTGGTCAGAACCAGGTTCATGGAGCTCATACAGCCCAGACTGTTCAGAGTCTCCAGCTTCGGGACACGGTCTTCTCTCTCCTCAAACTTACCTGGATAATAAAAACTCAACATGAAATGTTTGCACAGCATTTTACTTTTGTGGTCAGGGGTCTCATTTATAAAACTGTGCATAGGATCCTTACTGAAAGTGTGCGTGCGCTCAAAAGGCAAAAAATATTCAGGCTTATAAAACAAAATTCCCTTTATAAATCCCAGCTTGTGCGCACATGCGTCTCCTCCCCGAAATAACCATATATGGAGCTTACCATGCCTCGTTTTACTATGCATATCCTCATCTGCATATCGTTTGGATATGCATATTCATTCACATGATCCCATATTTAACGGTACAAGACATTAGGAAAATATGAGACAGATGTGCCGTCACATTACATTGTTAAAAATCATTTAGTAGCCTATTCTTGAATAAATAAATAAAATACAGAGACATTTTTTCTCAATCTTTTCCACTGGCCAAATAGTATTTTTAATTGCTTTATATTTTTAATGGAAACAGAGCCTTATTGCGCATTATTGATCATTATTTGCATGAAAATATTAGCTCAGAGCACGAGTTCTGCTGCTTTCATGCGCTAAGCATGATAAATGTTCCCGGTCAAGTTTGTTTTTATAAATCACAACTTATGCATGGGAAGTGGCGTACGTACGCCTCTTTCAGGGCCTGTTTTGGTTATAAATGAAGCCCCTGATGTACTGCAGGATCTTCAACTAGATGTTTACTTTTTTTTAGAAGTAAATGTGAGTGATGTTTGCATGTTGCACATGGTTATGGCACATTCCAATGTGGTGTGTTTTTGTGCATATACACTATGGGTCTCATTCATGAAACACGAGCAGAACGAATTTTTGTGTAAATCGTAGGGGTGACCTAGCCTGGTTCTACCAGACTCTCGTACATTTCATTTGTACAGAGAGTCTGGCCTCGCTCCATTGAGAAACGTTTACTTCCTTGTAGGCGGGTTCTCTGTTAAAGTTCAAAACTATTGGATCTGCCCAGCGTCACTCAGGATCTGCCATAGCCAATCGCTAACGTGTGGTCGTGACGTATGTCATGCGCCGAAACCGGCTGGAAACAACAAGTCCGAATTCCATATTCATAAATCTAAATATCTAAATGCTAAACCTCTCTTTCTTATATTTGTGAAAGAATTTTAAAAATACCTCTTTTCAATTAAGTTGTCTGAGAACAAAAAAAGCCTTAAAAACATTATCTGTTTGTAATTATTTTCCTTTTTTCAGTGTCATGTAATTCTCTTAACTTGTTCATGTTTATTTTATATTATCCCCCTACTGTTTTATTTTTGTTTTGTTTTTATTATTATTTTTTGTTTGTTTTTGTATTATGTTTTCTGTTGTTACTTGTGTATTGTTTTAAGCAATAAAAAAAAACAAGTCCGAATGATCAGAGGATTATGTTTAGAATAAGATGTCTGTCAACGAGAGCTGCATGTTTTGTTCATCGAATTTAAGAGTTCAAGGAACAATTCTAAATTCTAAATGTATATTTGACACTAATGACAGTGATGTATTCAGTCAACTGTCGAAGCTGGGTGTAATCATTAACAATACGCCGCTGCGGTCGTTTCGGATCTGCCACAAATGCTGTACAGTGATCATCGTGCACGCCGAGCTGCCCAGCACCAACTCCTAACCTTTCTGCCTCCCTCACTTGGTCCTCCATTAGTGCAACAAGAGGAGACGACAACAACTATCGGCTTTGCATCCTATCGTTCGCCTTAGCTAACTCATCCACTAGCGGAGTGAGCTGGAAAATTAAACTTTTCCCGAACCCCGTGGGGAGGAGGGCCACAACATCATGGCCACCAACAACACTTAGCAAACATTGATCTTGCTCCGGCTTTAACTTCTGGATATTCGGCAGTTTTGCAACAACGGACCGAATAGATTTTCTCACGTCTTTCTCCGCTGCCGTTACTGAACTCCAACTCAAACTGACGCGCTACATCAACGTCATCGTTCTCAGCCACTCCCTCTGTTCGCTGATTGGACCGGTAAAAAAATTATTTCTGGAAACCAAAGTCTACAGCACAATCCCAGACGTAGTACTGAAGGAAAATAAAATTGAGCGGAAGTGCGTAGGAGGGCGGAGCCAGGCTAGGGGTGACCCCGAATAGTCGAAGATTCGATGCTTCGATAGGAGGAGCCTGATTCGACTACCAATCTCACGGTCGAATCTTCGCAGATGTGTTATTAAACGTGGATTATGTCATTTTGGCTATATGAGTGTGCTCAATGTCTGATTTCACATAGAACTACTGGTTTTCTGTCAATATGTTAATATACAGCCTATTATGATAATGCTGTCGATACAAATGTGCAAAGAAAGAAGCTTTTAATAAATATTTTTTAACGTGCGTGCAGCGTGAATAATTCCAAACACCCCGTGACAGATTTAGTTTCACTTTCGATCCGTGACCGACAGAGGAGCGTCGTGTCGGCAGGGATTTAAATCTTTAAAAATGTCTGGGATAAGACAATCTAAAGATGCACACCATCAGAAAGGATATTCTCCAAGGCTGGATTTAGCATCAGGAAAACCATGATCGCACTTCTGCGGCCAACGTTAACAGGTTGGTTTTCCTTGGGACGTTCTAAAACGCTTAACGTGAAAAAAGCTTTTAAAACGCTTAAATGGCACTTTTACGTGCTTAATGTATGTACACATTAGGCTACACACCTTAAGAAACCATTCTATGTGCAGATAAGCAGATGAACCCAGAATATGAACGCAACGCGTTTCTCCTATTGAAAGTCACGTAAAGCTTTTCTTTAATGGTTTTCTATGGGAGGAAAATGCTTAACGTAGCCTATAATAAAGCGCGTTGCGTTCATATTCTGGGCTCATCTGCTTTTCTGTAGGCTATATATAGTATGCTTTATTAATATAAGGTGTGTACAGAATTTGATCTTTTAATATAACAGTTTAAGGACAAAGCCGTTAAGCGTTTTTCACGTTAAGCGTTTTAGAATGTATTTTATCCGCGCACACAATTTGAAAAGACTCAAACGGACACAGGCCGAGTGAAAGACTGGATTTTGTGTTTTCGATCAGTTATGTATGGGTAGTGATTTCAAAACATTTCAGCCGGTTCTAATTTGATTTTTGGATACTGTGAGTGTGAACACGTTTAGCTAAAAAGACTGCCGCTCCAGTTTAGCGTTTATTGTTGTTTCTGCAGTTAAAAAGACAAAGTTGACAATCCTGGCCATACTTTCGTTATTTTAATAATTTCTTTATTTTTATTTTATTAATTGATCACTCAGGGTGATCTAATTTAACTAGCCTATTTGTGACTTGTGTTTTGAATATTTGTTCCCCTGCACTTTAGGCATTTTGCACACATTTGTTCTGCTTCTTGTGACTTGATTCTGACTTATTTCGTTTTGTATTTTTATTTATTATAAATGTATATTATGTTCTTAATTTGTGATTATTTTTCAGTGCATAGATGTTGCGCTGTAGGCCTATAGAGCATGCTCGCACAGGCAATTCAGCCGATTTAATTTGATTTGCATGTGAAATGCAAATCCTATCTGAAGTGTGGCCTTTCTGCAGTTATTTATGTTATTTCTCAGTTTTATTGATCGAAAATGTTTTTATACATTTTCTTCTATATCTTTGTGTGGTGTTCTGTACATCGCGGCTTTAAAATGTTAAAGCCCCGCCCCCTCCCCAACAACACACACATGATTCGACTATTAGTCGACTATAGGCAGGACTTGACGAATCTGATTCGACTATGAAAATCCTTAGTCGGGGACACCCCTAGTAAATCGTGTGTAAAATGGTTCTGGCGTAAATTTTCGGATTCATTAAAATGTTCGTATTTTCCAAATGTTAGTTGGTACACAAGAAATCTACACCTGCTCCCAGCCACGCGTAAATAGTGCGCTTAACACCCGAACGTTTTGCTCATTAATAACTAAGGCTGCATTTTAATTCACCTTAATCGGGTACATATTTGCACAGCATTTTGAAAAAATATTATATATAGTAATTACATCCGGTTTTTCTTATTATGAGAGCCAGTAATAGCATCTGCGATGGTGGTCCTTTTCCAGTTTGAATACTATTTTTCCGAAGTGAACTAATTCGTTTTTTGCTCTCAAGCTTAATGTCGAACCATTTTCTTCTCACTTCTGGGAATGTTCGATTAACAGATGAAACTCCATTAACTGCATTTGTAATATGCTGCCAAGCTTCCTTTTTTTAGGACCCGATACGCCACTATGTACGCTTGAAAATAAAATGTGGCGTTTTGAATGAACTTCTGATAATAAAACTTCAATTTCTGCATCTGAGAATTTTTTTTTCATTCGCATCATGTCATAATATGATGCCCATATATAGTTGTCAGTCGGATTTAATGGGCGGGATTTATGGTAATTGAGAATGAACGTGCACGCGCATCCCATTTACGACTGATTGGAATTCATTAACACACACACACATTTCACTATCACATCTGACGTTTACGAAGTATTTGTGAATCGGGAGAAGAGTTTTCGGGAAGGTCTCTTTACGCGCAAATCACTCGCATATTTACGAATGTTTCATGAATGAGACCCAATAAGAGCAGGAATTGTGTAAATTTCAGTAATGATTAATAGGAGTAAAGTCTTACTGGCCAGAAGCAAGCAGGACAGAGCGACCATGTGAAGCTGCTGTACTGAGATGTCATAGCGGTCCATGAACAGGTCCAGCAGATAAACAGCCAAGTGTCTGGCCGCTGGGCACAGCTTGAACCGATTGCTGACTATAGCGATGAGGTCTGCAAAATATCGTCTAAGGCTCAGCTGTGGGGACTGGCCTTTATATGCAGGCAACCGCAGCTCCTGTAAGACAACCAATGAGACAATCACACCGCAATTAATATGTTTTGGAATATTGATTTGTGCAATAGCCAAGTTAAGTTGCACATACAAGCATTTATGCATACCAATAAGAAAATCTTACTGCAATGGTTTTATTAATGGCTGATCTGTGCAATAGCCAAGCAAAGATGCATATGCAACCATTCTAGTTGCATTTACATGAATGCATGCATATACAACTTTACTGAATGCATATGCAACTTTACTGAATGCAGGTGCAACTTTACTGAATACATGCATATAAAACTTTACTGAATGCAAGTAAATGCAACTTGAATTTATGCATATGCAACTTTACTGAATGCATGTAAATGCAACTTGAATTTATGCATATGCAACTTTACTGAATGCATGTAAATGCAACTTGAATTTATGCATATGCAACTTTACTGAATGCATGCAAATACAACTTTAATGCATGCAAGTTGCATTTACATTAATTCAGTAAAGTTGCATGCACGCCTGCCACACACACAAACCAAATATTCAATATCCCTCCTATAATAATTTTGTAATAGTGATTTGTGCATGATATCATAAACACAGTTTCACGTGGCACTAACAACATAATGACAGAGATACAAACTTTGTAACGCAGGGCCTGGTAGATGTCCTCTGCAAGTTCTCCTTTCCACCACTGACCCTCCAGCTCCATTGGGCTCCTGGAATATTTGAGGTTTGAAGATCAGATCAGCTTCATTGAGCAAAAGCACCTCAATGCATCCCAAGACAAATCAAAGCCTGAGCAACAATCAGCACTGATGACGGAGAGACTGAGGTCTTGATTGGTCCAACACTATCCTCAATCAAGAGGAGAAGATCATGAGTAACAAGCCTGAGTCTTCCTCATTGTGAACAACAGTTATTATTGGGTCAAACCAACTCAGTGCAGATCACAGGCAACAAGTAACGAGAACTAATGCAACTTACTAGCATTCATTAACCTACTATAAATCAAATGTGTATTAATAAACTCATGTCAAATAGAATTGCACTACAACCGTAAGTAGTAAGCTTTCCTCAAAAGTTAAGTTAAGTCAGTTAAGAGCTTACCGCACACAAAGACGCCTGCATACAGACAGGACAATGCAAACCAGCAGCAGAACAAACCTACTCGGACAATCAAAGTAAGTGCAACACTCTTGTGTTCACACGCAGAGTAACAAATAGCAATACACGGCACGGCGAGTCTCAGCCAATCGGAAGACGTCTTACAACCACAGAGCAACCAATCAGAACTCATCTTTCATCAGCGTCATCATAAGGCACGAAACTTTTGTCAATGCAGCGACAAAGAAATACTTGATACTAATCACAGAATCGCACAGAAAAGAAACATGTGATTATATAAAATGGCACGTGACAGAGATGCGAGAAGAATATAATGTTCCGTAATAGCAGTTTGTAAAAGTGCAAATGTATTTGAGCCTGTTTTAACACTATATCACCACTAGAGGTCAAGCTCACCTCAACAATGGCTGCTATTCCTGCTACTGTTTATTGGCATTTATAACCCCTGTTTTTTAAACTACAACTTAAAAAAAACCTGCACAAAAAAGTACGAATGCACTTCTACTGCATGAAATACATATCATATCTTTTATTATTTCATTTTTTATGGTAAATTGCATGGGACTCTCTCTCTCTCTCTCTCTCTCTCTCTCTCTCTCTCTCTCTCTCTCTCTCTCTCTCTCTCTCTCTCTCTCTCACACACACACACACACACACACACACACACACACACACACACACACACACACACACACACACACACACACACACACACACACACACACACACACACACACACACACACACACACACACACACACACACACACACACACACACACACACACACACACACACACACACACACACACACACACACACACACACACACACACACACACACACACACACACACACACACACACACACACACACACACACACACACACACACACACACACACACACACACACACACACACACACACACACACACACACACACACACACACACACACACACACACACACACACACACACACACACACACACACACACACACACACACACACACACACACACACACACACACACACACACACACACACACACACACACACACACACACACACACACACACACACACACACACACACACACACACACACACACACACACACACACACACACACACACACACACACACACACACACACACACACACACACACACACACACACACACACACACACACACACACACACACACACACACACACACACACACACACACACACACACACACACACACACACACACACACACACACACACACACACACACACACACACACACACACACACACACACACTCACTCACTCACTCACTCACTCACTCACTCACTCACTCACTCACACACATACACACATGTCTGGGTCACTATCTTTGTGAGGACTCTCCATAGACGTAATGTTCTTTATACTGTACAAACTGTATATTATCTCCCTTTGCAATAACCCGACCCCTAAACAAAACTTTCTGCATTCATACATTTTCACACAAAAAAAAAAAAAAAATTATGTAAATTTTTTTCCTCATAGGGGCCTCAATTTAGGGCCCCACAGTGACACAAGTCCCCATAGTCTGTATGCATTCAGGTTTAAGTCCCCTCCGGGATAGAAAAACATGAACACACACACACACACACACACACACATACACACACACACACACACACACACACACACACACACACACACACACACACACACACACACACACACACACACACACACACACACACACACACACACACACACACACACACACACACACACACACACACACACACACACACACACACACACACACACACACACACACACACACACACACACACACACACACACACAGTAATTTGACACATACACACCATACAAATGCAATAATAAAGATATGATATGTATTTTATGCATTAAAAGTAGGCCTAGTACTACACTGCAGGATTATGGAATTATTAGAATATATTACTTTATATTATCAGAAGTGATACGAATAGATTAAATTTAGTTGCACCAAAAGGAATTCACTTCAAAAATTCAAAAGATAGAGAGAAAAAAACTGAAATAGATTTAAATAAATAAATATAGCTTATAAATAAAATAAAAAAGATGAATTTCTACAGTGTTATAATGCATGCATGCACTTTTCTCACATTGTTATTTTGGGTAAAAGAGCATGTAGTAAAATGCTCAACACATCAGTGTCGTGTGAAGGTTTAACAGTGGCTCTATATGGTGGTTATAAACAGTGCTGAGTGATGTTGTGTTGAAAGAGGAAGCACATGCTGTCTTCATAGGCTTCTACTTTTCTGTGCACAGGCACAAATCTGTTGCATGAATGAAAGACAACGAACGACTTGTTTCACAAAAAGAAAGCGCAAAACTAAGCATTGTTGAATCAAAGAATGCATGCAATTTAGCCAATGCAATTAGGCATTAGTATGATGTGGCATGCAGGTAATCCACTCTTGTCACGGGCTTGAGCTGCTTTTGTCCCCGGATTGAACTGTCATGGCTGCCGTGCGCTGTTGACTGATTCTGGTTGGACGGGAGGCGGAAAAGGGCTGTAAGTCTGATCACCTTCGACAGTTTTACATGCACTTATACGCGTTTTCACTTATGCATTACGTAAACGTTGACTTTTAAGACGATTTGAAGTTTTAGAAGTGGGAATGCAATGTCGCACGCGCAAATGGCATGACAGATATAGCAGTTTGAAACATGTTTGTTGGGCAACTTTACATAAGCAGGACTGCATAGTTACTAGAGTAAACTCTATCGCAGGCTATTTGGATTGCTTTTTAGATTGCATTGCATTAAATATGTTTTAAAACTTTATAACACGTTCATTGCATTGTGACAGGGGGAATTAGGCAACTGAACCACAGGTGCAAACTGATTATAATTTAACTTGTGCAGTTCAAGATGCATGTTTAGTACTCCTTGATTGCTTTTAATTCATTTCTTACATGTCTTTGTTGCATGGGTCAGTATGCGTATATGAAGACAGAGATCATGTGAGGAAGATTAGTATTAAACTATGTTTACAAAACAGTACAATACAGTGATGTTAGGTCCATGGTACTGTGATGATGTATATCATATGGGACTGAAAGGCTATCATACTGCAATGGAAGTCAAGTGTATTTCACAGAATACCATGGTATTACCATGGGACATTTCTAAAAGAATCCTGGTATTAAAGTCAGTGTATTTGTTACACACATGATGCATAAGCATTACATTGCTTTAAACTAACCTCATACCAGAAAATGATTATGTTAAGATATATTAGTTGAAAAGTAAACAGATAACAAAAAGAAGTGTATATAGGCTACTATGTAATAAATAAAAAAATGTAAGTGAAAACGTACCATCATGATACCATGTTCAAAAATCATGGTAATAAGTAGTACTGAACACACACATAGGGTAATTCAAACACACTGAAATGTAATTAATATGTTGTAGTCTTCAGATAATCAGGTTTTGTTTTCAAAGACTTTCTTGAACATGTTGTGTAATTACTGTATATGTGACAGTATTTTCATTTAGTTTTTTGTTATATTTGTGTGGAAAGCTCATGGATTTTGATCATAAATGCTTAATAATTTCCATTTAATGTCCAGTTTACACAATAGTGCACATCATTCATTACAATAATTACTCAAAATGACAAGAGTAAATGTAATAAACGAGCACAGTTTTAACAACACGTCACGTGCGTTTTTTAAGTCTCTTCTGCTCACAAAGGCTGCATTGTTTTGGATAAAAAATACAGTAAAAACAGTATTAGTGTGAAATATTCAATAAAAAAATATTTAATTGCAAAAATATTAAGCAGCACAGCTGTTTTTCAAACATTGATAATAATCATAAAATGTTTCTTGAGCAGCAAATCATCATTATTAGAGTGATTTCTGAAGGATCATGTGACACTGAAGACTGGAGTAATGATGCTGGAAATACAGCTTTGATCACAGGAATAAATTAGTTTACAATATATTCACACAGAAAACAGCTATTTTAAATTGTATTAATATTTCACAATTTTTACTGTATTTTTGATCAAATTAATGCAGCCTTGATGAGCCGAAGATACTTTCTTTTGCTCAGCACTGCAACCAGAACCATTGGTGAAAATATAATAACATTGATTATTAAGTATGATACAAATTTTATGTTGATTGTTGAGTTTCAAGCATGATCTAGCCTAAATCTAAATGTTAAATTTCTCCTTGTCTTGTATAGGGCTCTGTACATCCAAAATGGACAGAGTCGACGCCAAACCTGACGCTCAGGTTGGGAATGAAGAGAGGAGCATTTGGCATAAACGCCTGCGTCTCAGGAAGTCCTCTTTTTCATTTCCCAATGAACAAAACACTGTGAAAGAGGAAAAGAATGTTACGCCGCATGGACAGAAAGAAACAAAGAAGTTTAAGAAACCACACCTTGTGAACACTTTCATCTGCTCTGCGTGCAACGACGGCATCTCCTTTACACCCGGCGAATTAATGATGCATTTTACGATTGTCCACGGAGGCAAAGGAAGCCCACCGATGTTTCCATGCAACGTGTGTGGTTTCTCAACGCCAGTGTTCACTACGCTTCAACAGCACCGAATGCATCACAAGGACTGTTTGTTCACTTGTGAGATTTGCAATGACAACGTCCAGCAAACGCTTCCCCAACTAACCAAACATTGTCAAACTCACCATTCTCTGAATGGTCAGTACTACTGTCCAAAATGCAAACTCTCCATCCAAGAGATTGAGGAGTTTATATGTCACTCGTGTTCGGCACCAATCATGAGCAATAGTGAAGAAAGCATTAACTTGAGGGCGGCACAAAAAAACAATCTCCTAAAGCACATGGCTGCTGCATGTCGCCAAAGGTGGAGCAGAAGAAATTGGTGGAGAAAACGGGCACAAGTCTGCAAACAACACAATAAACCGTCCCAAGAGTTTAAGATATCGCTTCCAAAACCAGAACCCCAATGGGCATCCCAATTATTACCATTATCCACACCCGGTCTACTGGACAACCATTGCTTGTTAATGGACCCAGAGAAGACCTTGGAGGAAACGCAGCAGTTTCTTGAAAGGACAGTTAGTGGTGGTAATAAGTGGCCTATATCTCTCAAAAGCGAGCTTGATGTTGTTCCTCTTGTGCCGACGACACAAGCGAATGCTAAGCGATGTAACGCGCCAGGCCTGCGGCGCACTGGGAAAGATAAGCTAACCGGACTTATGGAGAAGAACAATATTACTGTCCCCCAAGATTGCACTACAAAAGTGGTCGGGTTCAAAATGGTGGACGGCAAAAAGCATTTAGTTCTCAAAGTCATTCCTTCAAACAAGCAGCACGATGTTTCGACTCCAAGGGAATCGGATCGTGTTGAACCTCACACTGTGAAACCAACCAATCAACCCATCGCTAAACCAATCGAATCCAATGATACTTCAACTATCAATGCCTCAGGAAACTGTTCTCATGCTCAGGTGACATCCAGAAGGTCTTCATCCCAAAGAAAGAAGTGCGTAGCTCAGCGGGACTTTTTGTCTTCAGTGCTTGAACGGATAAATAGCCAAGAAAAAGATGGCTGCATCAATCAGGAACCCACTGACTGCGATACACACATTAATCTTAACGTATGCAACGCCAGAGAGACCGAAACTGAGGCGACGCAAATGCATTCTTGCTCCGAAGTGGATATTCATGCAAAGAGAGTGAAAGACTCCCAAGCCCTCAGTGAATCCGAGGAAAACTTCACCACATGCCAAGGAGATTCAGGCTGTCACAGTGATCTGACCTCAGATACAGGCTCTTCGGAAGAGAGAAGTAGTTCTCGACTCCTTAGTGCAGCGTTTGATAAAGAACACAACCTTACACTAGATTCAAACCTCATTGGGCTTCGTTCAAACACAGATTCGTGCTCCATCTCAGGGTTTGATTGCATTAGTCCATCCTCTAGATCTCCCCTGAAGGATTTGGCTGAGACGTTGTGTCATTTTCAAAGTGAAGATGAGGGCCTGTTATTTCACAGTCGTGCTGACGAGTGCACAAACAACACGGACCCCAGGGATTCTCCGGTCCCGGTGGGTCAGCGCGACTGTGAGAGGGAAACCGCTCCAGACCTGGATCAGACGGTGGATGAGCTGCCTTTAACAACAAGCAGCCGTTCGCTGGATGAAGCGCGAGTGGATCAGACGATATCTGCACGGAACTGCTCTGATGATGAACCTCTGCCAGATTTAACATGCACTGGAGGTAAGCAATGAACACGCTGGGCTAAAGTGTACTTGTTGTGTTCCCAAGGTCATGGAAAACAGTTTTGGAAATCCTTTCAAATGCAATGGAAATTTCTGTGGAATTGTGTTCAAAGGAATATACAGTCAAATCAAAATGTATTCAGACACCTTCAACATTATCACAGTTTATTCGCTATAGTTAGAAAATGGTAATAAAATATGAGCAGAGAGTTATCAGATCAGTGGATATTTCACTGGTTTTGTCCGTCCTTCTGTTAGAAGGAATGAATTATGAATTATGTTGAATATCTGTCAGATGTTAAATTTATCTACACAATTAGATAATACCAGTTTAGGTCCACAAATTACCAAGTTATGCTTAATGTTGTTCAGTATGTGGTGTATAAAGGTGCATTAGCAATTAAAGTAAAAAAACACTTCAGCAAAACATGGTCAGCTCAAAGTTTCTGAATCATTTTTGGTCCCAAATTTTTATAAATTTCACTGGTAGTCACTGTGTGAATAATTTTTGGGTATAATATATCACAGTTTACTTTATTTTGCTATCCTCACTTATATAAATGAACTATAGTGTCCTGCACACACTAGTAAACACAAATATATAAAAAATGATATCTGGTGTCTGAATAATTTTTGGTTTGACTGTATGTTTGCTAGCTGGCTTTGGAGTAAAAAATAAAATAAAATAAAAGCTGGAAAAGTCATGCCATGAAAAATCATAAAAGGTGTGTAGAGTAAGAGATGGTGTCTATCCTTCAAGACTTTCATAAAACCATGGGAATTTAATGAAGGTAGACAGCATGTTTAATTAAATTCAGTTCACATTTATTGTATTATTTTTCACAATACACATCGTTTCAAAGCAGCTTTACAGAAAATGCATGCGTCTTGATTACAATAATGCGGTCAGTGAAAAGGCTGTAAGTGATGTTCATTGTTTGGCCTACAAAACATTAAAATCTTTCCAAAACACTTCCGTATATATCTAAGGTCACGTGCATAGACATCTAAACATGGATAACACATTAGAGAGCCGCTATATTGAAGTGGTGCGCCATATTGGAACAGTCAAAGCCGGTCCGTGAACAAATTGACTGCAAACCTAGTTATTCCCATTTATGAACGTCTGTATCTGCAATAGTCATTCGCAGCTCTCACAGGATTTCCTATATCGTGAATGTTAGATAGTTCTGCATATGGTGCATTACAAATATAATGGTTAAAGTTCTTATAAATATTATTAATCATCAGAGAACCCTACTGTATAGATATCATATCATAGAATCTTAAGGTTTTCATCCTTTTGACATTGACATTTATCAATATTATCATAATTTACAAAAAAAAAAAAAAAAAAAATTACTCTGAAATTGCTTGGTAACCATCTTTCCAAAAAGATTCAACAAATGCATGAAGTAAAATATAGCTTGTTTTTCACCATATATTTAACATTTAACACAATAATTAAAATATTCAATTCAATTCATATTTATTTTTATAGCGCTTTTCACAATACACATCATTTCAAAGCAGATTTACAGAAAATGTACGAGTCCACATTACAATTTAGAGTGATTGTTATCAGAGGAAACTGTCTAAGTTATGTATTTCTGAAATGTACATATACAAATCACAGTTAGCTACAAATTTATTAATTTAACAATGTAATAATTTAAGGCAGAAACAATGAGCTCATTGAAGTAGAAATGCTTGTTTGTTAAAAGATTTTTGGATTAAAATATTCAAAAACCACTTGAACAATGTTATATATATATTGTTGATTTGTTTACTTGCATCCAAAAATGTGTAAATCCAGAGAAATAAGCCATTTTAACCAGGACCACATATGATGACAAATGATTATGACATATAGGAAATTGTAGCATTGGTGTATGTTGATTCAGAGTAAAATATAGTAATTAAACATGCTTGATTTTTCTCTAAGCTAACATTTATTATTTTTAATTTTATTTGCACCAGTATTAGAATGCATAGTACAGAAACATTTAGCATGCATTGTAAAGTGCCATGTTAGTCATTCTCCTGTTTCCATCAGGTCCAAACCAGCAATCCAAGCCAGTCGACACCAGCATCATCTTTCCTGATGATTCAAACTCTTCCACATGTGTATCCCGGGAGTCAAGCGGCCCTCTTGCATCACTGAACAGAAAGCGCATGGGAGAAACGTCCTCTCCGGACTCTCCAATCAGTAAATCCCAGAAGCGTTCGACTCGAGCCTCTGAAGACATCACAGCATCAGACCTCCACTGGCAACCGGTGGCTCGAGACGTTCCCACAACCCTTCGACTGATTCCCTACAGCTCCGTACAATCCGTTCAAATCCCACGGGATAACCAGCCGGTTATAGTTCTCAACCATCCCGACACTGAGATTCCCGAGGTGACAAACATCATGAAAGTCGTTCACAAGCACAAAGACGCCGTGCAACGGGTCGTGCTGTCTCGGAAAACTCTCCGAGCTCTCTCGGATTTCAACGGCGACGACTTCCCGAATAACCTCATCGGTAACTGCCATGCATCCCATTTCAGGAGGGAACGGCCGAACGGGACGGTTAAGGAAAGATTCAGCTTGAAACTGAGGCTTAAAAGAGTGTGTGGAAGGAAGTATACCGTGGTACCAACAGTATCCGAACGCATTGTGCTTCAGCCAACGTTTAGATGCTGGTTTTGTGGGAGGATTTTTAGAAACCAGGAAGCTTGGGTGGGACACGGACAGAGACATCTAATGGAAGCAACCCGAGGCTGGGAACAGCTCTTTAACAGATAGAGGAATCGCATTCATATTTGTTTTCTGCATTTTAAGACGTGCTGTGAATCAGGGTTACTATGCAAATCTCAGGGTGAGAAAAACACAGGTCCAAATCTGAGGATATTTGATATTTCATTCTTTATAGTAATATTCTTTTAAACCCTTTTTGGGTGGCAATTTATATGATCGAATACTCAAGTTGACACAAGCCAGCACTATTTATTTTGTTCCACAATGTGAAAAAGTACAGAGCATTAGTTACTATATTGAAAATCACGGTGTCAGACCAAATCCCTCTCGCACGATACTGTGATGCATCAGATTATTGCAAAAACCTCAGGAAATATTATAATATTCCACTGCTGTAAGATTAATACTAATAGAGCAAGTGTGTTTGATGCTAGACATCTGTTTGTCTTAATACTTTTTGTAGCTTTGAATTCATTGTTTTATTATTTTATTTCTGGTGTTTGAAACGGACAGACTAGGGCATGTGTGGTCGAACCTCTTCATTACTTCCGTCTTGCTTTACTAATCAACTTTAAATAGGCTTTTGTGACTGGAATGTTTACAGAGTGTAAAGTAGATTGTTGATCCGTTGTAAATGACTGTCAAAGGTGCTTTAGATGTTCATAAGGCATTCGTTTAAAACTACACCTGTATGCAGAAGCATTTGCTGCGTCACTGAAATTCTGTTTTGTATTTATGCTAATTGTCTTTATATTTATTTTTTCAGCATGCAGTTGGCTATGTTACGTTACGTGGGTTTGATTAAGGATTTAATTCATAGTTTAAATTAATTATCTTACATTTATCTAATTGTTAATGTATTACTGATTGTTAAAGAATCATGTAAACTGTGATGTTGTGGTCTCAGTAGTCAAGCATTTTAGTCTCATTTATGAAGCCAAAGGATTTTTTAAGTTCAGTGTAATCTGATCAGAATAATAATTTCGTGAGTGACAGGTTTATTTTCACCGACTAAAAATGAGACCCTCACTGACTTTTGATTGCACTGCAAAGTTTGAAGCTCTTAACAGTGGTGTCACTTTCCTTCCGCGACATTTGAAGACGGTCTTTATTCCAGGTCTCTGATCCACTTAACTTGAAAACCAAAGAAAATGTGTCTCTTATGTTTGTATAATAGTTTAAACACTGGTATAAGCACTAACAGCTGTGAATGACACCTTGTGTTGCTGTATTGTAGAAGTGCCTCCATACAACCTGAGACTCTCTAGAAGATCAGTAAATAAATAAATATAATTATTTTGAACATGTATTTGTTCTTGTTTTGATTTGAGCTGAGGTAACCAGCTGGTTAAGAAAAACACTACTGTTCTGATTACACAGTTTTGCATATCAAACTCTAATCTAAATGTATGTCAGTTTTTTTACACTTGTATACTGAAAAAAGAAATCTGTTGATAATGAAATTTTAGTTGGGATACTACAACTCACCAAAATGATCCTAATTTAAGACTAGATTTTTTCCTAGAGAGAACAAGCAGTGTCTTTTAAAAGTAACGTGTTACAATATTGTGTTACCACAAAAGTTACTTTTATTTAAAGTAATGAGTTAAGTTACTTTTGCATTACTTTTTATAAAGTGAGATTTAATGCATAAAGTATATAAAATTTAATTACTGCAGTTACGGCTTGCTAAGAGTTTTCATTAGATTTTTTATTCATCTTGAGGAATACTGAAACATGTTCTTACACACAACGCCTCTGCACTCACGATTCCTCTCAACATGAGGACAGGAGAGCTGTCAGTCAATGCATGGGAGTAACTTGCATTACTTATTTGAAAGAGTAACTCAGGTATTTTGTTGTACATTTAAAAGTAATGCGTTTCTTTACAGTTACCTGGAAAAAAATCAGAATATGTTACAGTAATGCCTTATCCCAAACACTGAGAACAAGCATTATGTAACTGGGCTTTTAATTTTAAAAAAATATATATAGCAGGTCAACTGATGGTCAAATCTAGTATTACATTTTCAGTGGCCCACAAGGTTTCCAGTTATTGCAACCTAAAAAAGTAATGTAAACCAAATTACAGTCATTAAATGTGGATCGAATGTCGCTACAGAACCGACTGTAGCCTATGGTTAAAAAGAAGTCATTTTTATTCATGCGTAATTTTCTTTTACTATAAAAATATTGTTATTATATACTATACTGTTATCTGTAGATCTGACTTACTGCATGCTCCAAAGAATATTTTTCATCAACTCACGTGACTAGTCCACCTTATGTAAATTAAATGTTAAACATAGTACACAACACAATAATTTTAAGTAAAAAGTTTCATATTTATTTTTTTACTGCACACACTTTATATAAAACAAAATGTTTATACAATGATTCAACAAACATAAACTGTACAACTGTACCTTATTTGCAATGCATATCTTAACATTGCGCTCTTCTCTGCTGCTGTATTTTTTAGATCGTTTCTATAAGTAAACATATGCGTTACACGGACTTCTTTCATCATTGCAATGTTATTATCTCGAATGGAATTTCGGCGTCTCGCTTTCCGTCGCGTCAAATTAAAAATACCGCGTTGTTTTAATTCTGTTACGCTGCCGCTGTTTTGGAAATGCACGCAGCGCGCGCCTAGTGCGAACGGACCTGTCATTCACTAAAATAAGTTATAAAAGTAGCAGCAAGTTATCTGTTTCCATCGTCTATTAAGGTAAGATGTGAAACTATCACACAGTTGTATGTCAGGTCAGTACAGTTATATTTGTCAGCCTCCAGCGTCGTCAGATTCGCGCTCTTGTTGCTGTTGTTTCATGGCGTCACTGCATGCCTGAGTTTGGTGGAGTCTTTGGTGTTGCTCTGTGAGTCGACCAGCACTAGAGGATTCTTCTGGTGGTTCTCAATAATGCCAGAAACGCTGCTGAAATGCTTGAGAGTGAATAGAGATGATAGTTAGTGACTGACAGACAGCTGACAACTTTACCTCTAGTCGTTTCAACAAATGCAGTGTATTTGGACACTTAAGTCACACTCATCTGAATGCAATTTAAACGTGAGCATGAAATCAAAAGGGACAATTCTTTTTTTATTGCAAATTTTTGCATATTTGCATATTGCATATTTGTATTGAATATTGCAGCATTTATTATAAATGATTTATCCGAGCACATAACAAAAATTAACTTCCCTCTTTAAGTAGTTGTGCAGTAAATAGGTAAAAAAAACCCTACTAAATATCCACAAAAACACAGCATAAATGTATAGTTGAGAAGTAAATAAAAAAATTTATATAGTTTGCCTTTGCCATCATGTAAAAAAATTATCTTTTCTTATGCAATCTCTGTAAAAGTTTGGGGTCAGATACTTGAACACTGATTAAGGGTTAAACAGATTAAATTCCCCAGGTGAAAAGACGTACTGTTAAATGTATTAAAAATGCATTATATTTGTATTGCACTAAAAATATACTCAAGTACATATTTAATACACTAAAAATATACTCAAGTACATATTTAATACACTAAAAATATACTCAAGTACATATTTAATACATTTAATATTACTTCTTTTTCACCCCTCTTGCAGCGACTTCTCTTCTCTAATGACTCTGGTGCATGGGCGGGGCAACCTGTCAGATCAACCAATAGCAAACCACAACCATTCAATCAATCGAGTGTGGGTATCTGTAAGTTCTAGTAGTGGGTTTGCTGAAAGGTCTTTACAATAGCTGTGTCCCAATTCAAAGTTTTTGAAGGCTGCGAAGAATCCTGTCATCACTGGCGTGCAATGAATTCTGAGGTAGACAAGGGAGCGAAGGATCCTTCTGTTGTATCCTTCATTTCACGGTAAACGAAGGACCCATTTGAAGGAGCATTCGAATGCATTTACGTCACTTTCCCAGCCGGACTGAGTGGCAGAAGAGCTGCTGTGTGACTGGATTTAATAGAGGAAACTGCGAAAACGCCAGTAAAACGCACGGTTATCAGTTTAAACTAAAGGTTGGACTCGATATACTGTTCCTTACAACTTACTAAAGATCCAGTGATCTGTGGATATTAACATGCAGCAGGAATCCTGTTTCCTGGCATTTATATGAGCCTGATTTCCACGCCGGGGAGATACATAAAGCAAATTTGCATGTGAACGCTTTAAATAAATACAATAGGTCTAAATCCGGGTGATCACTTATATCAATGTTATATATATATATATAATATATCATAATATTGTCCAGCCCTAAAACTTGTAGTTTTTTGTCAGTGTTTATTTAAAAACATCCAATTATGCAGAATATACGATGGTAAATATTTAATTGATGAGTTGTCAATACAATATATAGGGTATGATTTTACCCCTAAATTCAGCATATTGACACAAAAAAATCAAAACTGCAAATCCACCTTTCTCTGCCTGGATCCAGTTGTTTCTATGATTTGCAGCGATACATTTGCTTCTCAGTTCTGTATCTTTCGGCATAGTCTGTAAAATATATCTCAGATTTCTTGTCAAATCTATTTATACAGTCAATCTCAAAGCTCTTTCCCGTTTTAGATGCATTTTGTGTGTTTTTCTCTGCACATTTCACGCTGAAACCCAATGCTGTCGCTCAGTGTTTCTGCCACTCAGTGTGTGTAACCGCAGTCCCTCCGGCCGACGGTGACGTCACGCGCACACACTATTTTGTCAAGCTTTTTTTCTGTGCCACGGTGATGCAATTTGCCTTCGAATGTGCCCTTCAAAGGATGCAGCTTCTAAATTGCGACGCAGCAAATTGGTCGCGAAAGCTGCCTGTTAGAATTAGTTTCTGTTGTAGCATTTCACTTTCGACCTGCAACTATGGCCCTGTCCCAAATGGCACACTCCGGACTTGTGGACTTCCTCAGAGTCCACACTTCAGTGACGTCATGTAGTGCAGACCTATAGGGCCCTTAGCGCGAGTCCGCGAGGGCGCATTGAGAGGTATTTTTGGGACAGACTCGATCGTCACGCCGGAAACAGGAAGACGGTCTGGTTGTTGTTATGGACAGGAGCTACAGGTTCGGGGAAATATGCGGCCTATTGTTGTTGTGTTTACATATGACTCAGTAAAGCCCTGACATTCTGTTCTATTTATTTAATTAATCATAATGCGATCGTATTATTCAGCTCGCTATTATTAGCCTATGTTTGAGACATCAACCACTGGTCGATGATCATAATGTTTGTATAAACTTGTCATAAAAACCGTAATGATAATTACACTTAAACATTTTCTTGTCTGATTGGCCTTTCGCAAGGATTCCTGGGTAGTGAAAGTGCGTGAGACTACAAACCCAAAAGGCGCACATGTGACGTCATACCTTTCTCTCAATGAATGAAGCTAACTTTACTGAAGCTAACTTTACTGAAGCTAACTTCACTGAAGCTAACGTCTGTCATTGTTTCTATAGTCTTACTTTATAATCGTAACGTTACGCCGTCACGGCTGAGTGTTTTGTACCAGACTGCACACACACGAGCAGCGGATCTCGCTCGTTGTTTCGCTTCCCGCGAGATGTAGTTCATCGAGCGATTTTCACATAAAACTAAATGTCACTCTTCTGTTTTATGACAAACTGCGACTTTCTTGACTTTCATAATTATCTTTTAAATTGACAAACATCATATGTGTAATTCAGGGCACAGTTCAGACGGAATAAAAAGATAAGTTGTCTCTCGCCATTGACTACCATGCATATTTTTCCGAAATAAGGTCCCATGAGCCGGAAGCGGAGGGGAGGGGCTTAGGCTCTCTATACATTTGGAAATACGTCACAATAGGGAAGAAAAGACGATCGCAACTTCTGTTTAATGACTTTTAAGTGTCCAAATTCTTTTTAGGGTCAGTGTATCACCATGTCCTTTTTTACCTCCTCTCCTTGTTTTTCTTTCCCCAAAGCATATTGTTTGTTGGAAGCGATGTAGCGGACGGGGATGTTGTAAACTCGGCCGTTGTAAAACACCACGAGTGTGTACGGCTGCTGTGCGTCCACACCAGAGCTCTTCCTGAGCAGAAACGACCCGTCCTGAAATACAATCAGACAAAAAGCCACATACGGATTAGCTACATCTCAAATAGCGGTAGACTGAGATTTACATTCATGCATTTGGCAGATGCTTTTATCCAAAGCGACTTGCATTGCATTCAAGGTATACACTTTATCAGCAGCTCATGCATTCCCTGGGAATCGAACCCAGTGACCTTGGCGTTGCAAGCGCCATGCTCTACGGTTTTAGCTACAGGAATAATAATAATTTGTGATGTTTTAAGATTATCTGCATTGTCTGATAACCATTTGGCTGTTTGTTCCATATTTCTAATGTCTGCCAACAACAGTCTTGTCAATGCATGGTTTACATTTTCTGGTTTTGAATATATATTGGTGTATCTTGAGTTCATTTATTTTCTACAAATGAACCTATTTCACATTTTTGGGGTTCTCAGAAGCAGAAGTAGTCTATAGTGGCGAACGTAAACTACAATTTTTTTCCCCCATTCCCAGTTGCTCCAGTTGCAAAAGAAAAAAATCCATTACAGTGTTCCTGTGATTTTTCCAAAAGAGGAAAAAATATCATTATGAGATCAATTACATTGATCAAGAGGTCAAATTGACGTTTTATTGACTAGACTAGCAGTGTTGACTAGTTTTATATAATTCAATGCTATTGTCATCTACAGGTGAAACTCAAAAAATGTGAATATCGTGCAAAAGTTCATTTATTTCAGTAATTCAACTTAAAAGGTGAAACTAATATATTATATAGACTCATTACATGCAAAGTGAGATATTTCAAGCCTTTATTTGTTATCATTTTTAAGATTATGTCTTATGAAAACCTTTTCACAATATTCTAATTTTGAATGTGGGGTTTTCATAAGCTGTAAGCCATAATCATCAAAATTATAACAAATAAAGGCTTGAAATATCTCACTATGCATGTAATGAGTCTATATAATATATTAGTTTCACCTTTCAAGTTGAATTACTGAAATAAATGAACTTTTGCATGATATTCTGATTTTTGCAAAACTCACCTCCACTTATCTAGTATTTAAGGATGCACCTATATGACAATTTTGACCGATAACCGATAATTTTTTATATTTGAGAGCCGATAACCGATACATTGGCCGATAAATCTTAATCCCAATTTTTTATATAATTTTTGAAAGCCTAATTACAAAAACAAAAGTCTCACCATTAAAAGCCATGTCCCAAGCACACAATTATAATGTTCTCATAATATAATGTTATTTTTATTTTTATTTTTGTTATATAGCGCTTTCATTTTATTTATATTGTGCCATATTTTCCTTTTTTGAAGTGATTCCAATCATATTTCAAGCAGTTCAAAACCATCATGTTGAACAGTTCGCATCTGAAGGAAATAATCCATTATTTATCAGCTTTAATATATCGGCCAGATTTTCTTATCGAGACGATCGAAAATGAACATGTATACCGATATTGTGGCCGATATATCGTGCATCCTACATAGAATGAAAATATAAAAAACTTTGCTAGATTTACAATGTTAATAACTTTGGAAAGGCGTCATCACGCATCTTCAAACCGATAACATGCATCAGGGCTCGAATTTCGGCGCGGGATTGCGGGTATTGCGCATAATTCTAATCATTCGCGCAGGTCTCCCATTTATAATGCGGGGAATTCCCGCAATCGTAATCCACACAGATTATAAAATCAAATCATTCTTTTAACATCTATCTGCCAGATGCAATTTCACAAACAGCGTGAGTGTTCAGCGGTGCCGCGTCTTCTGTCTCTTTTCTCAAAATGTGTTGTGCAAGGCAAGCATCAAGCGCTGCGGCGATAATACACACTCGCGTTTAGGAGTCGGGACTCGGGACCATAGACTGTAAGGTCGGGACATGACGGAATATTCACTTGCACAATCGGGCCAGCAGTGCATCGTGACTGAAGTTTACCATTTGCACGTCTTTTTAAGTCTTACCAGTTTAAACATTCAAGCGATTTTAAACTAATCAGTGCTCGCGCGCTCTCTGAGAGATTATTTTCTATGCGCACATTCATAGAAAATCCGCCTCAAAAACAGCTGGCCAGTAACAAAAGTTATTTTTCGCGGATTATATTGCTTTAACACGCACAATTGTCAATTTCGGTCTTCGTGAGTATACTCTAAACATAGTCGCTTTTGTCTTTAATAAGCATAAACGCATGCCAGTATAATGAACACAGGATCCGTGCACTAGCTCTTAAAGTGACGGCAGCCATATGTGTCTGTCATTAATTTTGTTGTCAAAACAACAAAAGATAGCTTTAAGTTAAAGGAATCAGGATTAATAGCCTACGTATTTAATTTATTCAGGACTAAAATACTACCCAGTGTTATTTTCTATTTGATTACTTTATTCAGTATCTGTATATGAAGAGGCTACTAGTGTGTGTTAGACAAAAACTTTTCTCTTTATTTGTCTTTATTTGTATCTTTATTCTATTGTATTTATTTGTGCTACTTTTTTCAGTTTAATTAAACAATTTAAATCAAGCTTCCTTGTGTTGTGTAAATTTACAACCCCATTGTAAAAATGCAATGAGCGCAAACATTTAGGCAAGATAAATGTAATAATTTTGTTTGGAAAAAAATGCTTTTCCCTTTCTCCCCCTCAAAAAAAAAAAATCCCCCCCATGAGAATCATCTAAGGGGGGATTTCCCCCCCCATTTTCCAAAACGAAATTCAGGCCCTGTGCATGATGCATATGTCAGTGGTCTATTTCTAATGCAATGTCATTCAGCGTAGCTCTGTAAAATGCATCAGTGTTGTTTTGTGCAAGTCGGACATGCCTTAGCTGAGCGAATGAGAGCGTCCTCTGCTGTCTTGCGGTCACAGCTGCTGGCAAACCAAACCTTTTTATACACACCAGCTTCCTGTGTGAGAGAACTGGATAGTTAGACTGACAGAGAAATGCATGCTGGGATGTTCTTGATTATAGTACTTATGCTGCAAACTGAGACACACTAACATCAGGGTCACTTTTCATTCTCTGTCAGAGCCAAACCTTCTCAATTGAAAAAAATGGGCAACACTTTACAATAAGGTTCATTAGTTAACTTGAGTTATTGTATTTCCAAACAATGAGGAATACATTTGTTATTGTACTGTAAAAATACAGCTGTGCATGTTAGTTCACAGTGCATTAACTAATGTTAACAAATACAACCTTTGAATTTAATGATGCATTAGTAAATGTTGAAATTAATATTAACTAAGATTAATAATGCTGTAGAAGTATTGTTCATTCTTAGTTCATGTTGTTAACTAATGAACCTTATTGTAAAGTGTTACCGAAAAAAGAAATGCGTAAAGATGTAAATGCATTTGAAAGGAAGTCAAGAAAATAATAGTAATCACCTCCTCAGCGTCTCTAGCTGATCTGCTCTCTGAAGGCAACGTCCCTCTGCCTGGATAAAATCATATTAATAAACCGACAGAAAAGAAAAGGAAAGACTAGACAGATCTGATTTATATTTGCCTTATAAACAGAGAAAAAGCGTGAATCTTACTTTGGGAGGAGGGAGCCTGTCGAGGCAAAGGCATTCTGTAGGAGAAAAGGAGTTTAGCTCTGTTGTGGCACTTTATGTTTACGGTATAAAATGAACCGGTCGTCAGTGATGTCTCATGTCTCACCTGGCTCGATGAATCCCTGTTGGCGACGGACTCGACTTGGTGTCCGGTGGGCTTCGTGGGATAGTTACTGGTGTTGTTTTAGTTGATGATGCTGTAACCGAGATCATGTGACCAAACCATCAAAAGGTCTTCGTTAGGATTGCACTGTATAAATGTCATGTTGGTTACATCTACAAGGCATTGGCTATATTTATAATAGCACACTACACTACCACTGTGCAGAAGGCTATTCTTCTATACGTGCATGCAAGGATGTGCCGAATTTAGTTAGATTTAGTTAGAACTGATTAGTTGCATAGGCAGTGCAGCCAGAAGAAGCCAGAAATGTTTTGTGGCCCATACCTAGTGTGTTAAGAGAAGAGAAGGTTAACCAGTCTGATCTCACCCTTTGGATTTTTTTTATTTCCAAACATTTTGTTCTTAACAAGTTACATGCCATAAGTTGGTCAGTTGCTTCACATTTACACCAAAGATTTTGAGCATTTGAATGTTTTGGAAGTGCACTGTAGTGTTAAAAATTTCATTTGGACGCAATAGTTTATTTGCATTTAGCTACACTGATGTTTTGCACTAAATAGGAGTGTGTCAATTTTAGTGTTGTGAGTTATATCATTTTCTATATTTGGTCTTATGTCTTGGTATGTTCAAGCTACAAGGCAAAATAAAGAAATTAACTAAAAGTAAAGCATTCTTGGTGTTTTTGTCATGTTGCAATAGCCTGTTTACACTGATTATATACCAAAATCAAAGCTGATACTGTATGCTAATAGATAAAGGAGTCATAATAACATATGGTACCACTTTATTTTGATAGTCCACTTTATACATTCGACTAACTATAAGTAACTTTGCAGCTGCATGTCAACTAACTCTCATTAGAGTATTAGTAGGCTTAATATCTGCTAATTATGTATTATAATATCTTATTTTGTTGGTTCCCCAACAGATATTCTACTGACTATAAGTAACTTGGCAACTACAAGTCAACTTGTTCTCCAAACCCGAACCCACATCATAACCTGACAGTCTACTACAGTCTACTAATACTCTAATGAGTTACATCTACAAGGCATTGGCTATATTTATAATAGCACACTACACTACCACTGTGCAGAAGGCTATTCTTCTATACGTGCATGCAAGGATGTGCCGAATTTGTGCATTGTAAAACAGTAGGGGTGTAACAATATTTCGTGTCACAATATATCGCGATGCAAAAATGCAACATGTATTGTGGAGAGTGACAATATGTACAGGTGAAACTCGAAAAATTAGAATATCGTGCAAAAGTTTGTTTATTTCAGTAATTCAACTTGAAGGTGCATTGCGCAACATTTCATGTTAAAAATACCCGTTTTTCTAACCCATACATGCTTAAACAATTGCCTGATGGGCTGAACGAGCCCTTCTCTGATCACTGCGATTGCCTCTATAATCCTGTACAGTAAAATAAATAAGAGGGATTCGGGCCAGAACGTGAGACTGGGCGTGACGTCATGCGCGTTCACGCTCACCAGGCTATGTCTGGCAGGTTTGTGTATTCGCCGCCATTCTCCGTATTAGCGAAGACAACTCGAGCGACAAAACTTTAGTCAACTTTCGACAAAAGTAGAAGATGGATTCAAAGAGACCGGCTTGTAGTTCATAAACCCCAACGCAAACTCCACGCAAGACAAAGACAGTAAGGCAGTTTCGCTTGTCGCCAGAGGGGGGCATAGTTCTGCAAAAACTCAGAGGTGCGCAATGCACCTTTAAAGGGGTCATATAATGCCATTTTTGTACAAGCTAATATGATTCTTTAGGGTCTAAATTAAAAGTTTGTAATATACTTTAATTAAAAATTCTCATTAGTATTGTAAGAAAACACTTATTTTACCTGGTCAAAAACAGCTCTGTTTTCAGCACGCCGTTTCAGTGCATATGCCTTTAAATGATAATGAGCTTTGCTCACCCCGCCTCTCTGTTCTGTGCGTACACCGTTTGTAACACAATAACACAATAACCATAACGCGTTGTTCAGTATAAACGTGGAATTATGAATTATATTGAGAACGTCATACATAGAAAACATGCAGTAATGTACCCTGACTGTTGTGTAAACCTTAGACGCATTCATTGTGAAGCGTGCAGCTTCATTTGCAAAAGATTAATATATTAATATAAAGTTTAATAAAACGTTTCACTCACTTCCGTTCTTCTGGAGGTTCAGCAGGAACACGAATATCTGGTACCGATCCTTTTTAGCAAAGCTTCTTAGCAAATCCAGCTTTATACTGACCCTCGTTTACAAAGCAGTCTGGTCAGGGCCGGATTAAGAGTTCAGAGGGCCCTGGGCACAATGTCTTGTAGGCCCCCTCTTAGGCAGGCCAAATGTATATTTTGCCCAAGGACATTTTAATATGGCATTTACAGTTTTACTGACTTAAAAGGAACTTTGTTGTACTATGCTGGAGTAAAGTTCCTAAATGGTCGTTCTTTCCCATAGGAATTTGCAAAACTATGTTGGGTGCACCTCTGTGCCTCTAGGGGGGTTCGGGGGCGTGCACCCCCGCAAGAAAATTTTGTACATTTTAAGGTTAAATGCATCAATCTCGTCCTCTTTGAGAGGTCAAAATTAAGAGCTTCAACCCATGAACTGCTCGTTGAACAAAGAAAAAGCATTGATTTGTACCAGGACAATAAAGAGGGCTCAAACATCTTTTTAGTTATGAGAGTCTCAGTCTACATTACATTATCAATGGTGTTTTAGGATGCCAAACAATTATTATAATAATGTAATAATGATTTATATAATTATTCCTATGACGTAAAATCCGTATAGCCTATAAATGTACTATAAATGAAAATGAATATTTCAAAAGTATATTTTAGTCTACATTACACTATAATAAAGGAAAATTAAAATACTTTTGTCCTAATTTCTTCACTTGCAAGAAACCCCTTGAGCTTTTATTTAGGAGAAAACACCAGATAACCATGCTGATCGCGTGAGCAAAGAGCGCACTTTTCTTTAAATCACGCAGCACACACAGGATGCCTATTCTTAAAGTCTTGTGCTGTTTTATAAAGGCACAAAGCCATATCATGGTTTCGATTTTATTTCGTTGGCAAAATATAACGCTAGAGACCTTTATGTTAGGTTATACATTTTACATCTCATATGTGTTGGGAAAAGGGAGAGAGAGTTCGGCAAAAGGCGGATTCGAACTCGGGTCGAGCGCATCAAAAGCTATTATCAAGCAGTTCGCGCGCTACGACCTACGCCACTGTAGCTATTCCGAGACGGGCGTCTTTTTGGTAAAAAGACAGGCACTTAGTGCAAATATACGCTCCGTTATCTAAAATATTTTTTTTCTTCCCCTCGCTTGGGCCACAAGTGCGCATGGCGAACTTGCAATGAATACATTTTATCAGACCGGCCCTCGCGGCCTCGAAACACTACCGGCCCACCGGGGAAACTCCCAACTCTCCCGATTGCCACTCCGCCCCTGGTGCCCAGGGCCCCTTAGATGTCATGGGCCCCTGGGCAAGTGCCCAGTTGCCCTAATGGTTAATCCGGCCCTGAGTCTGGTGTGTGAAATGATTCGCGCAAACATGAGAGCATTGACGTTGCTCGTGTGGAATATTCCCTTCGAAAACAAACTCAGCCACTGCGTCTTCAGCGGTTCGTGTTTAGGAACATTAAAATGACTGTGTTCGTTATTACACCCAAGAACAGAACACCACAATCGCTCAGACGCCATTCTGCTCATAGACAGTGCTCCAGCATATCAACAATGAGCGCGCCGGTCCGGTCCACGCCGCGCAGACTATGATTGACAGCTACCTCATGTGCGAGGGCGGGTCTGTGTTGAAACGCTCCCGTCAATCAACAATCGTGGGAGGGGCGTCCATTTTATTGACGTCACAAAAAACGAACGGCTCGATTTGAGGCAGGGGAAAACATATAAGGAGATTAAAACAAAACCACTGGATGGATTTTTATCATTATATGATGTTTGTGTACAGGCACTGCCAACACACATTTCAGTACCATCAACTTGTAAAAGTGCATGTACCATTATATGACCCCTTTAAAAGCTGAAACTAATATATTATATAGACTCATTACATGCAAAGTGAGATATTTCAAGCCTTTATTTGTTATAATTGTGATGATTATGGCTTACAGCTTATGAAAACCCCAAATTCAAAATGAGGTTTTCATATCTGTATGCCATAATCATCAAAATTATAACAAATAAAGGCTTGAAATATCTCACTTTGAGTCTATATAATATATTAGTTTCACCTTTTAAGTTGAATTACTGAAATAAATGAACTTTTGCACGATATTCTAATTTTTCGAGTTTCACCTGTATTGTGGATAGTGACAATATGTATTGTGTATAGTTCACCCAAAATAAAAATTAATATGTGAGAACAAATTTGCTTTTGCTATTCTATGACAATCTCATCATGAGGGATTTATAGTTACCTTCACTCTCTCTGCGAGGAATGCTTGGTTTCTGCAACAATGGATGAGTATGTTCACAAAATGTTTTGATTTAAATAATAATAATAATGCATGACTGCTTTTAAAGACATTAGATGTGTGTACCGGTATCGAAGCAGGATTTGGTTTCTTCCTAAAAGAACAGAAGTGATGAACTGTTAGTGAATCAGATATGCTGTATGTATTATAGTTGAGGGTTTCCAGGTCTTACAGGTCTCGAGGTCGAGGTGTCGGCATCGATGGTCTCCGGGTCTCCGTCGTCTCCTCTGGTCTTTCGTTAACTGCTAACGAGTGTCAGAAAATAGATGGTTTTCAAGAGGGATTGTTTTTCTGCATTCATTTGCTCAGGTTTAGTGTGTGTAACTGATACTCACTGTCATTTCCGTCACACACCTCATAATCGTCATCTGATTGGGGTTCCTGCTCAGACACATAGTGGAATAAGACCGTCAGCATATTCTCAATTCAAAGCACGCATTGTGGATTGTTATATGTGCATATAGGGCTGATCGCTTATTTACATTCGAATCAAATGCACATGTTGGACAGGCTGGCAACAAAGGGCTCATTTGTCAACATTAGTTGTCAATGCATTAGCTATGATAAACTAACAATATGTGTGTGTGTTTATATATATATTGGGGATGCACTGATATGAATATTTTGGCCGATACCGATAATTTTTGTATATTTGAAAGCCGATAACCGATATATTGGCCGATAAATCTAAATATAATTTCTAGCCTGATTACAAAAACAAAAGTCTCACCATTAAAAGTCCCATACACACAATTACAATGTTCTCATTATAATCTTTTATGTAGCCTATATGACAAACTTGCACTGCACATTTTGCACTTCTTTTTTTAAGTGATTCCCATCATATTTCAAGCAATTCAAAACCATCATGTTGAACAGTGCGCATCTGAATGGTCTCAGCTGGAGGAAATAATACATTATTTATCGACTTAAATATATATCTGTCAAATTTTCCGATAATGCTAACATTAAAAATGAACATATATCAGCCGATACTGATATGGTGGCCAATATATTGTGGTGCATCCCATACATATATTAGTAAATTGTGAAATTTACAACTTAAATATTGTTCATTGTTAGTTCATGTTAACTAATGTTATTTATTTGATGCAAAATAACATTCTTATTTTTTAGTGTTATTTTACTCTTGGTAATTGCAGTTCTTGCTTATATTATTGATGATTGAATTGATGATCAATACTCACTGGAGGCGTTGATGGCCTTCTGGCGTGCATTCTGTACGAATAGATAAAACATGGACAAACTTTATTTGTTTTTAATTTGTGCGTTCATCTCTTTCGTTTGGTACATTTATCATTTTGTAGTGTTTTGAGAGTTGGCTGTGATGCTTCGCATTGTTAGAGAACCAAAGTAATGAAAAAAAAGTAGAAACTATTAAAATGGTAAATGTTGGTAAGGGTGTTTGTAATGGTGATCATGTAAGAATGGCTGTAATACCGTGGACTGGCTTTAGGAGGCGCCGTCTGTGTGTTCGGCTGAAGAGTCTCCTTACTTCTGATGATCAGAACATTTATTGACAGAACATCAATATAAAAGAGAGAAGCATGTGCTGTGGACATGAGTAAGTTTAGGAGTGAATATGCTAAATGTATAGTGTGGATTTGAACGTGTGAGTGTATATAGAAACATCTTCATGCACTGGGAATAATTGGGTGTAATTACTCCTGTAATTACTGCCATCTGAAACTGAGTTTAACACCGTTTTGTAACATAGCTAGTTTAATGTGTATAATATGAATAATAAAGTTAATTGGGAAGTTTTACCTTTTCTTAGAATGTGAATTCTCCTGTAAACAGACACAACACATTTTTTTCCTGGGCATTTATAAAGCAAATATTAATTTTAGAAGCTTAAAGGATGAATCACGCAAGTTTGTCAAGAACATGTCCATGTCATATTTCATGCAAAAATCATTAAAAAAATGTATTATGCATGATGGTATAAGTTGTACTACCTGTAATTTATGCTGATTTTAACCACGATAATAATAATAAAAATTGTTCCGATTTTCAAAATTGTTCATTGCATTGTTATAATCACCACTGATAAAAACGCCATTAATCGCATCTAACATTAAAGTTTTTGTTTATATGATATATGTGTGTGTATATATGTATGCACTATGTATATGTATATATGTGTGTGTGTGTGTGTGTATGTATACACACACACACACACACACACACACAGACATATGTATATATATTGTATGTATACATAAATATAATAATATATACAGTATACACATATATTATATAAACAAAAGCTTTTATGTTAGATGTGATTAATCATGATTAATCGATTTGACTATATACATATTGCAGTAATGAGGTTTTGGGGATAATGTCATGTAATTAATGTTTCTTAAAAAAAAATTTAAAAAAATCGTAAAATACAAACTGCACACAATACATGCTCTTATTCTTTTATTTTGATTTTGCAGTGAAATATGACCTGAATATACACTCACCGGCCACTTTATTAGGTACCCCATGCTAGTAACGGGTTGGACCCCCTTTTGCCTTCAGAACTGCCTCAATTCTTCGTGGCATAGATTCAACAAGGTGCTGGAAGCATTCCTCAGGGAGTTTGGTCCATATTGACATGATGGCATCACACAGTTGCCGCAGATTTGTCGGCTGCACATCCATGATGCGAATCTCCCGTTCCACCACATCCCAAAGATGCTCTATTGGGTTGAGATCTGGTGACTGTGGAGGCCATTTTAGTACAGTGAACTCATTGTCATGTTCAAGAAACCAATTTGAAATGATTAGAGCTTTGTGACATGGTGGAAGTAGCCATCAGAGGATGGGTACATGGTGGCCATAAAGGGATGGACATGGTCAGAAACAATGCTCAGGTAGGCCGTGGCATTTAAACGATGCCCAATTGGCACTAAGGGGCCTAAAGTGTGCCAGGAAAACATCCCCCACACCATTACACCACCACCACCAGCCTGCACAGTGGTAACAAGGCATGATGGTTCCATGTTCTCATTCTGTTTACGCCAAACATCTGACTCTAACATCGACATCTGAATGTCTCAACAGAAATCGAGACTCATCAGACCAGGCAACATTTTTCCAGTCTTCAACTGTTCAATTTTGGTGAGCTCTTGCAAATTGTAGCCTCTTTTTCCTATTTGTAGTGGAGATGAGTGGTACCCGGTGGAGTCTTCTGCTGTTGTAGCCCATCCGCCTCAAGGTTGTGCGTGTTGTGGCTTCACAAATGCTTTGCTGCATACCTCGGTTGTAACGAGTGGTTATTTCAGTCACTGTTGCCCTTCTATCAGCTCGAACCAGTCTGGCCATTCTCCTCTGACCTCTGGCATCAACAAGGCATTTCCGCCCACAGAACTGCCGCTCACTGGATGTTTTTTCTTTTTCGGACCATTCTCTGTAAACCCTAGAGATGGTTGTGCGTGAAAATCCCAGTAGATTAGCAGTTTCTGAAATACTCAGACCAGCCCTTCTGGCACCAACAATCATGCCACGTTCAAAGTCACTCAAATCAACTTTCTTCCCCATACTGATGCTTGGTTTGAACTGCAGGAGATTGTCTTGACCATGTCTACATGCCTAAATGCACTGAGTTGCCGCCATGTGATTGGCTGCTTAGAAATTAAGTGTTAACGAGCAGTTGGACAGGTGTACCTAATAAAGTGGCCGGTGAGTGTATAATGCCAGTGACCTGAACAAAGCTCTTTTGATTTAAGCTTACCTTCATGTCCGGAACCTCATAGAAATCTGAAAAGAAGTGCGGTTTCAATATTTGATCAAATAAATCTAGAGAAACTGTGGACGTCTTGAAAAATAACCTCACCGGGACCGTTTCCACACGCAGGAACACAAGGTTTGACCCCTCTGTTAACCGCCGGCTCTGGAAATAGACATCATTAGAGCTTGATTTATTGATATTAATAATTCAGTGTGCTACAACATTTAAAACGCCTTGCATAAGCGTTCCTTTATCATCTTACTTGTTAGTGTTTTCTCAGTGGGGTCAATGTAATTATCCTCCATCTCGTCCTCGGGCTCAATGTAATCTCCCTGAACAGAGAGAGTGTTGCGGTATCAGTAGTTTATTGTGCAGTAAATTAAAGTGTGTGTTAAGTTAACGGTGCGAGCCGTGATTATTACATCATCTTCCTCTGTCCGACTGCGGGTCAGTCGCGGGGGTTTGTGCCGCTGTTGCAGAAGGAAAGGAGTGTTTGGTTTTGCCGGTCGACCACGACAGCTGTCTGGTGTACAGAGAAAACACACCGGGTTTACATGCCGTAGAACTGAACCTTCAGTTACTCAAACTTATTGCATGTTTTTTAATTCTGTTAAACACAAAAGGAGAACCTTTGAAGAAAGCATTTAAAGGGATACTCCACTTTTTTTGGAAATAGCCTCATTTCACTACTCCCCCAGAGTTAAACTGTTGAGTTTTTACCGTTTTTGAATCCATTCAGCCGATCTCCGGTTCTGGCGGTACCACTTTTAGCATAGCTTAGCATACATCATTGAAGTGGACAAGACCATTAGCATTTCTAAAAAAAAAAATGACCAAAGAGTTTCGATATTTTTCCTATTTGAAACTTGACTCTTCTGTAGTTACATCGTGCACTAAGACCGACGGAAAATGTAAAGTTGCGATTTTCTAGGCTGATATGGCTAGGAACTATACTCTCATTCCTGCGTAATAATCAAGAAACTTCACTGCCGTACCATGAGTGCAGCCGGCGTAATGATATGACGCAGCGCCTGAAAATAGTTCCGTTGTGTTGACGGAAGGTGGCCTATTTTCAGGCGCTGAGTCATATCATTACGCCTGCTGCTCTCATGGTACGGCAGGAAAGTTTCAAGATTATTTTCTTGATGCTAAGCTATGCTAAAAGTGGTACCGCCAGAACCGGAGATCGGCTGAATGGATTCAAAAACAGTAAAAACTCAACAGTTTAACTCTGGGGGAGTTGTAAAATGAGCCTATTTCCAAAAAAAGTGGAGTATCCCTTTAAATATTTAACACAAAAATAATGATACTTTATGATTGAAAACACTGTTCGTGAAGCTGTTTTACTCTCTCTGGATCCTTCACAGTAAGACCATGAACATTGAGATAGTAAATGGAGCCAGTTTTGATTTAATGCTGACTTTATCCACCTTATTTTGCAGCGCAGAAGTCGCTATTTTCTGTGACTGTGCGCAACTTCCGATACATTTGCCTCTATAGGTAAATAACTAAGAATATCAAAATGCAGTAAACACTAAGGCTGCAACTAACGATTATTTTGATAATCGATTAATCGGACGATTATTTTTTCGATTAATCGATTAATCGGATAAAAAATTCAATTAGATTTTTTTGTTTATTTACTAAATAAAACCCGGTTACACTTTATTTTAAGGTGTCCTTGTTACAGTGTAATTATATATTTAAGTACAGAGTAATATTAAGTAACTACATGAATATAGGAATAGGGTATGATTAGGATTTGGTTGAGGGTTAGTTGCATGTAATTATGCATAATTTACTGTTATTACTACAGTAAGTACATGTAACATAACAAGGACACCGTAAAATAAAGTGTTACCTAAAACCCTAAATTAGGATATTTATGTGTAAAAGTGTACTTTAAAAAGTGCAAAAGCCACACATTTTTAGTTTTAGTAATATCAATATTTGCATTGTTTTTAATGATAATTGCTGATGGCAAGTTGACAACCATGATTAATGTAAAAAAAAAACATTTATATCCAACATATTGTTTTAACACAATTTTTGTTAAAACAAATTTACACAGACATGTTGTTCAGATGTGAAGATATAAACTAAAAACATCTAAAATATATAATTCATTTAATTTTTATTTAAAATTAATTGAATTATAAGGATACATTGATAAAATAAATATAGAAAGACTGAAAACAAGCGTGTGAACGTAGAGCCGCAGTAGATCGCGTTTGTAAAACAATTAAAACTTAATAGACAAATGCAGTAAATAGAGAACGGAATGGAAGTACGCAGCAAGTTAACAGGCTTGATTAAAAAGACAGGAAAAATGATGCATTAGTGCACAAGCATTCGCGGAAAAACACTGAGTACAGTGACTAAAACAATATTTTACTGCTGCTGTTATTAACTGCCTTTATATTTAGTGCTTCGCTTTGTAAAGACCGTTTTAATTTAACCTATTTCTGCGGTATCGCTATTTTAATCCTTCACTTATGTTGCGAGCGAACTGATTGAGCAACCTGATGCTCGAGACACAATACAGACATCCCAAGTCTCCCGGAAGTTCTGGGAGTCACCCGCATATTGATAGCGGCTTATGCGGCTCCCCGATGCCCGCAAATTAGTTCAAACTCCCGGGATTTGAGCGCGCATTCGAGACAGAAGAGACTGTGCTCCAAACCGTGAAGCGCGCGCGGCAGAGCAGCGGAGGGAGAGAGGCCTTGCGTGTGTGCATATGTGCCTCATGAAGCGCGTGTAAGACAGAGAGCATCCTGATTGGCCTGTTTCAACCAATCACCAGTAAACGTTCACCGTGACGTAAGCAGACCAACTAATCGATAATGACATTCGTTGACAACGATTTTCATAATCGATTATTATCGATTTTATCGATTAGTTGTTGCAGCCCTAGTAAACACAGTAAAATAATTACCAGTGTGATTACGATAATAAATTAAAGCTGCAGTCCGCAGTTTTTCCTCTTTGTCGCCATCTCTGTTTGAAATCTGCAATTGCAGTCATTCGCGGAATTATCCACTTTACGTGAGTTGTGCCTCGGCACCCTCGGCACGGCACAGCGCGGATGAACGCAGTGTTTGAGGAGAGTGTGTGTCTGTCAGTCACTGCCGGTGTGGATACTGGCATTCGCAATCACAGATTATTCTTTTTTTGAAGTATGACCAACATAATAATTTTCACCGGAAAATGTCTGAACAAGTGAGAAACATCCACTTTTGTTCTGACCAACTAAGGGAAAAAAAGCATTGCAGTGAATCGCGCTGATTAAATCTAACGATCTTATCATATCACGTCAAACCGAGCAAATTATACTTTGTTCTCAAATAGTTAATGTTCAACATCAGCATTGCGTGACGACATTTAAAGCCCTTCCGATATTTATCCTTGTTTCCGCATGGGCCGGTTGCAGTCTCTTTTCCCAAACTCTCAGTCCGAAGTCTTTTGCATGTTACAGCGGGTGAATCTGTTGTCACTGGTGATTGTCGTTTGAACCTTTCTGGATCCGCCATCTTCTTTATGTGTACAGATTAGGGCTGTCAATCTTCCTCTATAATACTATTCGAATTCCATTCCTTATTTTATTTAATATTCGAATAATATTTGAATTCAATTTGAATATTAAATGCTCAAATTCATCCTATTATTAATATTTTAGGGATGCACGATATAGGATTTTGGCCGATATTCGATTTGCCGATATTTTCAAACTAATTTTGCCCGATACCGATATATTTGTATTTTTTTTAAGTGCAAAAAAAAGCTTATTAAAGTTCTCAGTCAAGAGCAGTGAGTGATTTCCTCTGTGTTTTGTTGTTTTATTAAAATTAACGGGATAGTTCTCCCAAAAATTTTAATTGTCATCATTTACTCTCTCAAGTTTCTTTCTTCTGTTGAAAATAAAAGTTTTTCGGAAGATGTGGCTAACCAAACAGTTGCTGTACTCCAGTGACTTCCATAGTATATTTAAGCACAAGAAAGAAATGAATACAGGTTTGGAACATCATTAGAGTGAGTAAATAATGACAGAATTTTTATTTCCGGGTGCAGTATCTCTTTAAGGACAAGCGGCAGCATATTATTTCTGTCTCTTTAAGAACTGCACGCGACGCGTCTAATATAAACGCATTTGACAAGCAGATTTTCTCTGTTTGCTTTCACTTTAGACATAACCAACTTTGTTTATGTAAACCTTGTGTGTATTTGACAGTATCAGCGCAATAAGACTCGAAAGATTAGTCCAGTATGCAGGCGCTGTGACCAAGGCCGTAACCAGGGTTTGAAAATTAGTGAGGTCCGGGCCCGGGGTGTTGTGTAAAGAATTTTGCTATAATAATGGTTAGGCCATTGGACCCACATTTCCCCATGGACATTAAGCTGTGCCCCTTTTTTTTAATGGAATTTGGCATCTATATATATACAGGGGTTAAATTTGGATTTAATTATGTGTGGGGTAGTCTCTCACTAGGGAGGTCCGGGGGTATGCCCCCCCGTGATTTTTTTTGTGTGAAAAATAAACCAAAATGGCACTTTCTGGAGAGTTTTGTGCAAAGAAATATAGAAAAAAGTAGGTCTAGCAAGTCTTATATTTCTGTAATTCACACAGATCAAACACAAATATGCTGACTGAATAGATTGCTAGTTGAGAAACACTGCTTTAATTAATGTTTTTATGATGATTTTGTGAAAGGTTAACTAAACAGCATGAGCCGTCTTCCAGCTGGCCAGTAAGTTATTTGGCAAATTTCATTCTGTAGGCTAACATACAGATCTGTATTATGCTATTGTTAGTGTTATACATTTCTTACAGATAATCACGATTGTCATTGCGTTTGTCTTACCGAATGTGGTAGCTTTATGCAATTACAGTTTGTCTATAAGCTTTTTTTTATTTATTTTATTAATGCCGACAGTAAAATGTTGCCAGATATTGCTACGAAAAACAAGCAAAACAAAACAAAATAATAATAATAATCTGAAATAAGTTCAAAGCTTGTGTTTTGGAAATAAGATTAATATATCACTAAACCTAACATGCAACTTTCCACTTTAATAACTTCCTAAAGTGTCACATTAAATCAGAAAAACAGGTCCAGGAGACTACTGCCACCTTTCCATTAGTGGATCTGGCAACACGGAGGCTGTACCCGCGCCCTCACTCACAGCGCGCTCTCAAGCCCCGTTCACTGCGCCAGCTTCTCGCAGCAACATGAATTGCAAACACTCACGGCTAATTAATCATTCAGAGAGCTTGACATTTTATTTTTGAATGTAAAAAAAATGACCGAGGTCCGGACCTCGGTGACCTCATAGCTGGCTACGCCCATGGCTGTGACAGGCTTTTAGTTCCTGTGAGCGTCGCGTGTACGCGCTCAGAAAAGCCCGTAAGGTCCGCCATGCTGATTTGTTTACATCTAGCTCCCACAATTACTTGCGCTCAGGTGGTTTGGCGTGACTGGCCTGGAATGCTACAAAGTCGTGGTTTGAAGTCGTGATTTACGTGCTCAAAAACCTGCCTGGAACGCAGCATTAGATCCAGTGTGTCGGGATACTCACTCACCCACATACTCTCCTCTGGGGTTTGAGATGGACGAGCCGATGGTGAAGCCCTTCACGCCGACCTCTGACCTCGGCGGAGGCTCGTAGTTATCCTCATGATCACCCTGTGGCTCCTCATATGTGTCACTGTCCTGTAATAATGTCATCAGTGTCTCTTTATATGTCCTGCTTTTACAACAGCAATAGTGGAGATTAATCGGTATAACTGCATTTGGAAAATTATACTTAAAGTCATTACTAGTTTCAAATGAATTAGACGTACACAACAGTGTGATGTTAGTATCATTGAGATCCTATATTATAGCATTTAACAATATTTTGAATTAGTTTTTATTTTTAGATTTACTATTTTCAAGTTTTAGTAATTTGGTCGTGTGGTTTTGTTCATTTTTATTAGTTTTGTTTTTTAAACCGTGCTGACAAAGGGATTAATTGCGATTAATCACATCTAACATAAAAGTTTATAAGTATATAATATCTGTGTGTGTGTGTGTATATATATTTGTTGCACTTTTTTATGTGGTGTAAAAGGGCCTTTACAAACACCACCATATACAGTGTTCATATATTTCACGAGTAGATACTAATTAGAACCGTTTATTTGCTTAAAACAGGGTTTTCATTAATATTGTGAAACTTTATTTACTGAAATTAACATTGAATTGTACGGGGCAACTCTGTAAAGAAAGTTTCTGCCTTAAATTAAGTACAATCAACTTGGATGTTGAAGTAATTTCAACTTAAATTACATTAAACTGACTTAAAAGATGAGTTGAATCTTGTATAACTTATATAAAAAGTTAAAAATTGCTTAATTTATTTTGATGAGCTAAAACAATGTAAAAACATATGTTGTCATTACTTATTGATCATATGATTCGTTTTTACGGTGTACAGTCATTAAATTATTATTATTACTGATGTTACATTTACTGAGTGTTACATCTGTACCATTTCTCCCGTAAGTGAGCTGTGAATGTCTTTATCAGACGGAGAAGTGATGTCACTGAAGAAGACCAATCATGCACTTACAAAATCTGAGTCAGAGTATCTCTCAGTATCCGGAGCTTCGCCTGAAAAGTGACACAACATGGTCATGTGGTCAGAAACTGGGTATATTTAGAATGTGTTTTAATGGTCCATAAATTCCTGTGTAAAATCTGACTGTCATGCATGTCATTTTAAGCCTTTTTAAGGGCCACTGTATTATATTATGCTTTATATTATTTAATAGTCAAGTCAAGTCACCTTTATTTATATAGCGCTTTTTACAATACAGATTGTTTCAAAGCAGCTTCACAGTGATAACATGAAAATAAGTTTGTTTTAAGAAGAAAAGTACGGCATCATCGTGCACCTTAAGTACGGCAGATCAATAATATAGTTGAATATTAAATGTCCCCAACTAAGCAAGCCAAAAGCCAAGGCAACAGTGGCAAGAAACCAAAACTCCCATCAAGTGACAGAATGGAGAAAAAAACCTTGGGAGAAACAGGCCATATTTACACATAGCCGGGTATTTAGAGAAACGAATATTTCCCCCTTCCGTTTTTTAATAATAACATCGAGCACACAACATCTATATTATATTTTATATTATATTTTATTTAATTTTTTTTCTTGTAAGCACTATGAGATTTGATGTCAAATGTATAGTGCATTATTAAAAAAAAAACATCGTTTTCAAAAAAGTTGTCATTTACATCAACCCGCATAAATACCTTTCTTTGACTGTCTATGATAAATACGCCGTCGAGCGCCATCATAACTCTGGGCGCTCACATGACGTTAAGCATTTTCTGGCGCATAATGTGACGTTTGAGAACCTAAAACCCCGTTTCTCCCAGTCGACACGGCCACACATAACCGGCGTTATCAGAAATCTACACTTTGGCCGGAGTTTTTAGAAATAATCTGTGATAAAAACGGGGTTTTCGTGTAAATGAGAGGCCAAACCGCAGGGAAATATCTGCGTCTTCCCTTCGTGTAAACGGCGCATCAGTCGCTCAGTTCTCCTCTGGCCAACGAACAAACATGATTATGATTCAGGCATTACAGGTCAGAGGTCAGATTGGATCAGAACATCCACAATATTAATCCAGATCTGGGTGGAATCATAGGCCTGGGTTACATCAGCTCAAGATCAGATCAAGTAGAAATACAGGTGAAACTCAAAACATTCGAGTATCGTGCAAAAGTTCATTTATTTCAGTAATTCAACTTAAAAGGTGAAACTAATATATTATATAGACTCATTATATATTTCAAGCCTTTATTTGTTATAATTTTGATGATTATGGCTTACAGCTTATGAAAACCCCAAATTCAAAATTAGAATATTGTGAAAAGGTTTTCACAATGTTGCATGTAATGAGTCTATTTCATATATTAGTTTCACCTTTTAAGTTGAATTACTGAAATAAATGAAATTTTGCACGATATTCAAATTTTTCGAGTTTCACCTATGCACATTTTTCAACTGCACACTTTCTGTTTCTGTGGTTGAGAGAGACTTGCCTTGATAGTCCCTTGCTGGTACTTTTGGAGGTCCTTTCTTCTTTATTCTGAAACAAAATTGAAAACAACCCAAAATACAGGAAGTTCTTGAGATTTGATATCAGCACATTGTGAATTCGTGATGCTGAGCGAGCGAGTGTGTGGATTATATTTTTCACTTGTCAGCAACCTTTAAACACGGCATCATATAATTACATGTAATCTACAACATGCAAAAGTAAAGACACACAATGGCAGGATGCATTTGCAACGGAATAATGAGACGGTTGTTAAAGTTAAAAGCCAGATTATGGTAAGTCTTCCCAAAGACACCACAAAGATGACGTAACGGTGGCTGTCTGGGGCCATTTCTCCACACACACACACACACACACACACACACACACACACACACACACACACACACACACACACACACACACACACACACACACACACACACACACACACACACACACACACACACACACAGAGACAGAGACGAACAAGCAGAACACTTAAAGATTGCTAGCTATTTTGCACTTGAAAAGAGCTTTTAAGCAAGATAATTTGCTTTTCAAGGCAAAATGAACTCGCAATTAACCCCGAAAAAGCACATTTTAAGCAAAGACTACAGACTAATGGATGAAGAAAACAATGATGTTAAGACACACATGCATGCTTTTATTAGGATTCACGGCACAGAAACGCAGTGAAACATTGATCCTACCGGTCCAGCGTATTTCTCCCGCTTTTGAGAATATTAGCTGTTTGTTCGTTCTGAAACCTTCAAAATGAATAAATGTAGTTATTTGTATTGATGATGAATATTAATTAAATTTCCTAAGGTGAAACTCGAAAAATTAGAATATCGTGCAAAAGTTCAGTAATTCAACTTAAAAGGTGGAACTAATATATTATATAGACTCAAAGTGAGATATTTCAAGCCTTTATTTGTTATTATGTTGATGATTATGGCTTACAGCTTATGAAAACTTTTCACAATATTCTAATTTTGAATTTGGGGTTTTCATAAGCTGTAATCCATAATCATCAAAATTATAACAAATGAAGGCTTGAAATATCTCACTTTGAGTCTATATAATATATTAGTTTCACCTTTTAAGTTGAATTACTGAAATAAATGAACTTTTGCATGATATTCTGATTTTTGCAAAACTCACCTCCACTTATCATTTAAGAGTATTTTATTGCTGAAAACGGTCAAACCAGTTGCGTATAAAGTTCAGACACAAGGAATCATTCATGTCTGGCGTGCAACGGTGCGCAACAAAAATGCATTGAAGTGCAATGAAATACTCAGGGTTTTGGAAAACCCCTAATCATGAATAATGCAACAATGCAATGTTGGCAAACAATGCAGTAATTGCATAAGGAATGAGCCAAAACTGTTTAGGCTTTATTTATGTTACTCTAATGAATGTTTTGGACTGCAGGTGTCCTTTCATTAATGACAATTGCTTGCTATTGGTGCAAGTACTAGTGTTTTCCGTCATGCACGCCACACCTCATGGCCTGTTTTGGGACTATTCCTCTGAATGAATAGAGGAAGTGAGAGGAAATGTGTTTGAGGACAGTCACCAGATGTTTCCTTGTGTCTGTTTTCAGACCGACTGCGAGTCAGGACTGATGAAGCTCAGAACATAAACCATATAACATACCTTTTTAGCCTGTTGAAAAGGCTGTCGTCATTCTTCTTTATATCTTGAACCATTTTTTGGAGTTGCCTGAAAAACAAAACACGATGAGAGTTAATAAAAGCACATACTGTAGTGTACACTACTGGTTATAAGTTGGAAAGACGTCTCTTCTGCTCACCAAGGCTGCATTTATTTGATCAAAAATACGGTAAAAAATTATGAAATATTATTCCAATGTAAATCAGCTGTTTTCTATGTGAATATACAGTAAAGTGTAATTTATTCCTGTGATCAAAGCTGAATTTCCAGCATCATTACTCCAGTCTTCAGTGTCACATGATCCTTCAGAAATCACTCTAATATGAGGATCTGATGCTCAAGAAACATTTATGATTATTAGTAGTGTTGAAAACAGTTCATATGTTTAACATGATTCATATTTTTGTGGAAACCATATGTGATACATTTTATTTTTCAAGATTCTTTGATGAATAGAAAGTTGGATGGATGTTGGATTGGATTCAGGTCGAAAGATGGATAGATATTCAGATAGATAGATATTTACATTTATGCATTTAGCAGACGCTTTTATCCAAAGACTTACTTTGCATTTCAAGGTACACATTTACATTCTTATCAGTTCTTGCTTTTCCTGGGAATCGATCCCATGACCTTGGCGTTGCAAGCGCCAACGCTCTACTGTGTGAGCTGATTGACAGACAGACAGACAGACAGACAGACCACTCACTCCCTCCACTCACCTCACTCCCTCCACTCACTCACTCCCTCCACTCACTCACTCACTCACTCACTCACTCCCTCCACTCACTCACTCACTCACTCACTCACTCACTCACTCACTCCCTCCACTCACTCACTCACTCACTCACTCACTCACTCACTCCCTCCACTCACTCACTCCCTCCACTCACTCACTCACTCACTCACTCACTCACTCACTCACTCACTCACTCACTCACTAACTCACTCACTCACTCACTCACTCACTCACTCACTAACTCACTCACTCACTCACTCACTCACTCACTCACTCACTCACCACTCACTCACTCACTCACTCACTCACTCACTCACTCACTCACTCACTCACTCACTCACTCACTCACTCCCTCCACTCACACACTCACTCACTCACTCACTCACTCACTCACTCACTCACTCACTCACTCACCCTCACTCACTCACTCACTCACACACTCACTCACTCACTCACTCCACTCACTCACTCACTCACTCACTCACTCACTCACTCACTCACTCACTCACTCACTCACTCACTCACTCACTCACTCACTCACTCACTCACTCACTCACTCACACACTCACTCACTCACTCACTCACCTCACTCACTCACTCACTCACTCACTCACTCACTCACTCACTCACTCACTCACTCACTCACTCCCTCCACTCACACACTCACTCACTCACTCACTCACTCACTCACTCCCTCCACTCACACACTCACTCACTCACTCACTCACTCACTCACTCACTCACTCACTCACTCACTCACTCACTCACTCACTCACTCACTCACACACTCACTCACTCACTCACTCACTGACTCACTCACTCACTCACTCACTCACTCACTCACTCACTCACTCACTCACTCACTCACTCACTCACTCCACCACTCACTCACTCACTCACTCACTCACTCACTCACTCACTCACTCACTCACTCACTCCACCACTCACTCCACCACTCACTCACTCACTCACTCACTCACTCACTCACTCACTCACTCACTCACTCACTCACTCACTCACTCACTCACTCACTCACTCCCTCCACTCACTCACTCACTCACTCACTCACTCACTCACTCACTCACTCCCTCCACTCACTCACTCACTCACTCACTCACTCACACACTCACTCACTCACTCACTCACTCACTCACTCACTCACTCACACACTCACTCACTCACTCACTCACTGACTCACTCACTCACTCACTCACTCACTCACTCACTCACTCACTCACTCACTCACTCACTCACTCACTCCACCACTCACTCACTCACTCACTCACTCACTCACTCACTCACTCACTCACTCACTCACTCACTCCACCACTCACTCACCACTCACTCACTCACTCACTCACTCACTCACTCACTCACTCACTCACTCACTCACTCACTCACTCACTCACTCACTCACTCACTCCCTCCACTCACTCACTCACTCACTCACTCACTCACTCACTCACTCACTCCCTCCACTCACTCACTCACTCACTCACTCACTCACACACTCACTCACTCACTCACTCACTCACTCACTCACTCACTCACTCACTCACTCACTCACTCACACACTCACTCCACCACTCACTCACTCACTCACTCACTCACTCACTCACTCCACCACTCACTCACTCACTCACTCACTCACTCACTCACTCACTCCACCACTCACTCCACCACTCACTCCACCACTCACTCCACCACTCACTCCACCACTCACTCACTCACTCACTCACTCACTCACTCACTCCACTCACTCACTCACTCACTCACTCACTCACTCACTCACTCACTCACTCACTCACTCACTCACTCACTCACTCACTCACTCACACACTCACTCACTCCACCACTCACTCACTCACTCACTCACTCACTCACTCACTCACTCACTCACTCACTCCACCACTCACTCACTCACTCACTCACTCACTCACTCACACACTCACTCACTCACTCACTCACTCACTCACTCACTCACTCACTCACTCACTCACTCACTCACTCACTCACTCACTCACTCACTCACTCACTCACTCCACCACTCACTCCACCACTCACTCCACCACTCACTCACTCACTCACTCACTCACTCACTCACTCACTCACTCACTCACTCACTCACTCCCTCCACTCACTCACTCACTCACTCACTCACTCACTCACTCACTCACTCACTCACTCACTCACTCACTCACTCACACACTCACTCACTCACTCCACCACTCACTCACTCACTCACTCACTCCACCACTCACTCACTCACTCACTCCACCACTCACTCACTCACTCACTCAATCACTCAATCAATCAATTAATCAAAAAAATGTTGGGTTGTTTCAACCCAAATTTGGGTCCAATATGGACAAACCCAAATGTTGGGTTAAAAATGTAATTAAACAATTTACAGTTGAAAGTTGAAGTTGGGTTAAAATTTTAAATTACATTTTTAACCCAACATTTGGGTTTGTCCATATTTGACCCAAATTTGGGTTGACACAACCCAGCATTTTTAAGAGTGTAGATTGATTGATTGATTGATTGATTGATAGATAGATAGATGGATATATATTTTTAGTCCTGTAGGCATCAGTACACAAGCAGTCGTGAATCTCTCAGACTCAGTGTGTCTTCGAGCGTAAAGCCGTTGAATTGTGTGTTTTAACATCTTATCAGATAGAAAGATAACTGGTTCTGACAGACTCAGTCTGAGCGACCGAGACGTATAATAAACATAATCACAGTCCTCAGAACTTCCCTCCAACACCGACTCTCTACCTTCACTAAACCCATCAGACGGTCACATGATCATCCACTGGACGTCAGTTATCCACGAGTCACGCTGAAGTTATTCCTGATTAAATGATTTTACAATTACATTTATGGCCATTTGAAAGTTTTTTTTTTTTTTTTTTTACACATTTTGAGAGATGCAGATAAAAAAACATTTTTATTAAAAATAGTACTGGGCAATGATTAATCGCATCCAAAATAAAAGTTTGTGTTTACATAATATATGTGTGTGTACTGTCTATAATTATTTTGTGTATAAAAATACACACACGTGACATGCATGTATATATTTAAAAATATTTGCATGATGTACATATATTTATACATCATTATTTATATAATATATAAATATGAATATTTTATATATAAATATATATTTTTTTAAATATATACCGGTACATGCATGTGTGTGTATAAATAATTATACACAGTACACACACATATATTATGCACACAAACCTTTATTTTGGATGCGATTAATTGCGATTACTCGTTGCCCAGCACTAATTAAAAAAACACTTACACGCAGTTTAGGTCTGACAAGCTAACCTTTGACCCTCGTAAGAAGCAGTTTTATTCTCTTAACATTAAATCTTAGTTAACCTGAAACCTCCTAATGCTCAAGTATCAGAGAAACCGATATTTCTCACCTCAGTTTGTCAGAAGCAGGAGCCGTGAATCTGTTGAACTGCTCCATCGTGTGTGTCACTGACTGAGCTCGTCGAGTGTGTCGCGCGTACTCATAGTGTGTGTGTGTGTGTGTGTGTGTGTGTGTGTGTGTGTGTGTGTGTGTGTGTGTGTGTGTTTAACAGCACATGCTGCAGATGCAGAGGAGGGACATTTTCCACAGAAGTGGTTCGTAATGAGGATTTCGAAACTGCTGTTGAACGTCATGTTACCTCTATATTTGGAGTCCAGCCACTCAAACCTGATTCAGTTCAATTAAATGATGCTATTTCTTGAATCTCTGGATTCTCACTTCTCCGTCTGTGCTTTTTCCAGCCTTTTTATGTCAAATAATAATTATGAATGATTTAGTCTTAATATTATTGCACTGGTCTTCTGATGCATACGAATCTGCGCTATGAGTGACGTTTAATGCAGTCGTATTAATAATGTAACACATTTATTCCTGGCTAAGTGACCACTCGTATTTTTCTGCATGGATACGAAACAAACTTGCATGGCTTTTCTTGAAAGGTTTTGAAAGGGTAAGTGAAAGTATGAGCTTTATTTTTAGTTGCAGTACAATAATAAAGTAACAGTGTTCTGTGATGTAGATATTGTGACGACTGCATATTTCTTTGCAAAACCTTTTTTTTATAACTTTACCTAAAGCCATTATTCATAATGTATGTTAATGTTATAATGCATTAGATCTTTTCATAATTAAAACCAAAGTTAAAATGCATTATACTTTCTAAAGGTGTAATGGGGGAAAAAATATTATAATGTATTATAACTGTACAATGTACAAATAAACAATGCATCATAAGGTGCATTAAAAGGCATAATTAATGCATTAAAATACTTTTAGAATGCATTATATATTTAAATATATAAATGCTTCAAGTAAATTGTTACCCCATTTTTATTGCTGAAATTTCTGTATCTTATAGTATATTAGTAGCAAAAATATTTTGTTAGATGCACGAGCCACAAACTTAGTGTGTGTAAGTATAAAACTAGAGCGTTTCCTCATTGCTGCAGGGAATCATTGACCAATGAGGAACACTTGAGGAAAAATACAGGGAATTTAATTCTATAAGTGGCTGGGTGGAGAGAGTTTAGAGTAGAAATAGAAGAGAAACCGGTTCCTTACGGCCGATGAAGGAGGCTGAATCTGTTGAGGTCACCGTCCGCTAGAGTCTGCAAAACAAACAACAGCGCTCAAAACCATCCCTGAGTTCAAGTTCTTCATGCAACTTCAAGGGGAATTTCTACAAAGAGAATTAGTAATATTCAGTGACAGTCCAGTTTCTGATACAAACACACAAACTCTCAGTAACTTTGCTTAAAAGAAACTTGTTCTAGAGAATAAAAGTAAAAATAAACATTGCATTTGTGCTTAAATAATAGTATTTAGGACGTAAATTAGGACGTCTGGTTCATTTCTCTCTCTCTCTCTCTCTCTCTCTCTATATATATATAGAAATGAATCAGACGTCTTAAAATACTATATATAGTACAATGAGGAAAAATACGGGGAATTTAGACATCCTAATTTACGTCATAAAATACTATATATGAATCAGATGTCCTAATTTACATCATAAAATACTATATATATATATATATATATATATATATTTTTTTTTTTTTTTTACTTCAGAATGCATTCAATTTCATAATTTAGTTCAGAAATTGACTCGGCAGTTTGTCACCCGAAAGGGTTTCTGTGAAACACTATAAATGTTTAATGAAAATATACATGGGTAAATATTGTTAAAATGCTTTTTTTTTTTTAAATTTATTTGAACATGTAAATAAAAATAAATTAAAATCAATCAAAGAAACTAATAATAAAAAAAACAAATGAACAACAAAGTAAAAACTCCATACTTTCAAAAACTTAAAGTCTTCTATTTACATGCACAAAAGGAGGTAGGAAGAAGTAAAACTTATATACTCCTACCCCTATACCATTACTACCATATTTAACGAGATAACTAAAAAATAATAAATCTGCGGAGATAATAAATGTTTGATTAAGTTATATCAGTTATTGTTTTACTGTAATTGAATGCATTTCAGTTGCTGAACATCATTGCATTTTGTGCCACATAAAATCATAGCAAAAGTAAAATATTAAGTCTCTGACATGTGGCTTCATAGAGTTAAAATAAAATATATTCTGCCATTTATTCACTTTTTGAATGAATATAGATGTATCTGAAGAGATTTTGCACTCTTAAATATAATAATAAAACTTTAAATGCACTACAAAGTGTGGATCATAGTAAGAAAACAGCATGTTACTTTGCAGAATGTGATTGTAACAAAAGTTGAGCCGAAAAGGTAAAATCATGCAACAAAGAAAATATAATGTAAGATCTTATAATGCCAGATAGATGATATGCTATAAAAATAACGCTTTAAACATTAGTATGCTACGCTTATATTTTGAGGAACCACTGACTAATTCAGTGTGTAAGTTGTTTTGTTCCTAATTTAGCATCTTTGTGGTTATGTTTGGAATGAAATATGTAGCTTACTGAATTATGCAACAATAGATATTTCCATAATAGTTTGCTGAGGTTTTTTTTCCCCCCACTCTTTAAATTATAAATGGTGAGAAATGGGAAAACTTGATCCGGCTGTTCCCTGATTCGGACACTAGGTGGAGCCGTTACCCAGCAGTGAAACTGAGGCCGCGTCCCAATCCACACACTCGCACTATTCACTCAGTGTGTACTGATGTGTGTGTTGGGGAAAGTGCACACATTTCAGTGTTTTGACGTATTGGCATACATTAACAAGTCATAAAATCAATGGACAGAGCTTGATGACTGTTAATAAATGATGAGGGAAGAAAATGTCCTCTGAGACTCACAGAGAGACGATTAATGCTCTAATTCTTCCTGAATAATGTAGATACTCAATTTTAATTTATTTTTTATGTTAAAATTCTTTGGCCTCGTTTCATTTTGCACTTTTTAGTAGTTACTTTTATGAGCTTCCTTAACTTTATTTAGTTAAAAAGAAATGCTTTTTATTTTATTACTTTTTTATTTGGGTGGAGATACTGGAGCATCTTGAGCTGAAGGTGTATTTTGTTTTTTAATTTTTTCTATTTATTGATTTACTTTATTTGGGTCACGGTGATGCTGGAACATCTTCGACTAAAGGCTTATTTTATTTTATTTATTTATTTTTATTTGGGTCACGGTGATGCTGGAGCATCTAGGGCTGAAGGTTTATTTTATTTTTATTTTTAATTTTATTTAATTTTATTAGGGTTGCCTTGCGGAGATGCTTGAGCATCTCAGGGCTGAAGGTTTATTTTAATTTTTGATTGATAAACTTTGTATACTTTGACACCGCCACATGGATAGGCTATAATCATCAAAATTATAACAAATAAAGGCTTGAAATATCTCACTTTGCATGTAATGAGTCTATATAATATTTTAGTTTCACCTTTTAAGCCTCAAACTCAAATATTGGACTATACAAGTGAAACTTGAAAAATTAGAATATCGTGCAAAAGTTCATTTATTTCAGTAATTCAACTTAAAAGGTGAAACTAATATATTATATAGACTCTAAAAAGTTGTTTGAACCCAAATCTGGGTCAAATATGAACGAACCCAACCATTGCGTTAATATTTTTAATTAAAAAATGTAACCCAATGACTGGGTTTCTCCATATTTGACCCAAATTTGGGTTGAAATAACTCAGCATTTTTTAGAGTGTAGACTCATTACATGCAAAGTGAGATATTTCAAGCCTTTATTTGTTATAATTTTGATGATTATGGCTTATAGATATGAAAACCCCAAATTCAAAATTAGAATATTGTGAAAAGGTTTTCATATCTGTAAGCCATCATCAAAATTATAACAAATAAAGACTTGAAATATCTCACTTTGCATGTAATGAGTCTATAGTTTCACCTTTTAAGTTGAAATACTGAAATAAATGAACTTTTGCACGATAGTTAGATTCTAGTTTTTTGAGTTTCACCTGTAAATAAAAATATTCCTCACATATCCTTCTGCTTTCAGTGTAACACTCTCTGCATTACGCATCAACACCCCTGACAGCGAAGCGTCTTTCATAAGTATCTGACGGATCTAACAGACAAATGCAAGAGGTTGAGTTTTCTGAATCTCAGTAACTCTCTGCAGACAAAGACAAGAAAATCACCAAGCCCTGCCTAAAATCAAGCTTAGCCTTTTGACACAGAATAAAATATCGAGCATTTGGTCCGGGCCGCTCCTCGGAAGCTGCTTGCTGAGGTGAATTATTTATGTGGAGATTCTCCAGGAGACTCTGGAATCACAGCTGCATATTAAAAAGCTCAGCTTTCACATAAGCGGCGCTCAGAGTCTCGGCTCGGGTCACACACACACACACACACACACGCAACTCAGGCCAAAAACTGTCTGAAAGCAGTCAGGGACATCTGACGAATAACATCAAGATCCGCGAGATCACCAAGTTTGACCAAGTGCTCCTCAGTCTACCAAACTTCAGACTCCAGGACTCTTGTGTGGACACTAGGGGTGTAACAATATATGCCAATGCAAAAATGCAACAATATGTATCGTGGATAGTTCACCCAAAATAAAAATTCACGTTTTCAGAGTCAGACTACATTAAACTACTGTATATAATGTTGAATATAGTGTATATTAATGCAATGGGGGGATATTTGTGTGTCCTGATAATGCCAAATGTTACCAGTAAAAAGTGTCCAACATTATTTTAAATATATCTAGATGAAGAGCGCAAGCATATTCGTCTATAATAATTCAGTATTTTCAGCTTCAGAATCATGAATATTGTTATTCTGGTGTCTCTATTGTCCTGTGCTTTGGGTTTCAGCACCAAGTCCAAGTCTATTCATTTACACACACAATGTCAAACCAAATTTAGCATTTTAATCAACAGTGCATTTTTTGTTCACCTTTTATCATGTGTCTTGGAGAATCGCAGTAATATCGTATCGTGAGTTGTATGAATCGTGACATGAGGGAATCGTTGACACATTTCATCTTT